ATATTTTCTTATTTCTTATACAACCACAGCACAGTTAACACCTTTAGTTAATTTAACATTGATCCAATTAGATAGAATCTAATTCACTGTCCCTATTACAATTTTTGTGCCCTGGTGGCACAGTGGTTAAGAGCTCAGCTGCTAACCAAAAGGTCGGCAGTTTGAATCCACCAGCTGCTTCTTGGAAACTCTATGAGGCAGTTCTAACTCTGTCCTGTAGGGTCGCTATGAGTCGGAATCAACTGGACGGCAACGGGTTTGGTTTTTGGTTTCTATTACAATTTTGATAAGCCCTGCTGGCACAGTGATTAAGTGAACCCACCAGCCACTCCGGGGGAGAAAGATGTGGCAGTTTGCTTCTGTAAAGATTACAGCCTTGGAAACCCTATGGGCAGTTCTATTCTGTCCTGAAGGAATCAACTTGATGGCAACAGGTTTGATTTTTGGTTATTACAATTTTGTTAAATGACTCAGTGATGCCTTTTCTAGCATTTTTTTTCTTCAGTACAGAATCTAGTCTCTATCATGTGTTGCATTTAGTTGTCAAACACTTTTGTAGACTAATTTTTAAACCCTGAAACTCCTTTTTAAATTGTATTATCTCTAGCTTCTCAGACGTCATTTGCCCATTTGCTGTACCTGTTGACTATTCGGCAAGGTGGCAGATTTCCTCATAGACTCTTTGTGAGTTCATCTGCAGCAGGAACGGCCTTCTAAGGGCGTCCTGTGTGTGCCACGCACGTACCCTGAGATATGAGACAGTTTTGCATTTGTCTCTATGGATCCCTATGTTAATTTCTCAGCGTGGGGTTTATGTGCCAGGTAAGTGACCTACGAGTAGTGCAGGCCCAGGGTGCTAATTTCTTAGGGATGGCTCTCTTTCTGCCCATAGCCTGATTGACCTAGTGGTTTCCTTCAGTTTCACAAAAGGGCAGTATCTAGTTATCTAGTGCCGCTATAACAGAAATGCCACAAGTGGATGGCTTCATCAAACAGAAGTTTAATATCTCACAGTCTAGGAGGCTAAGAGTTCAAATTCAGGGCATCAGCTCCAGGGGAAGGCTTTTCTCACGGTCGGCTATGGAGGAAGGTCCTTGTCACCAATCTTCCCCTAGACTAGGAGCTTCTCAGCGCAGGGACCCCGGGTCCAAAAGACATGCTCTGCTCCTGGCACTACTTTATTGTTAATAAGAGGTCCCCATGTCTCTCTGCTCATTTCTTTCTTTTATATCTCAAAAGAGATTGGCTTAAAACACAACCTAATCTTGTAGATTGAGTCCTGCTGCATTAACATAATGCCTCTAATCCTGCCTCATTAACTTCATAGAGGTAGGATTTATCACACATAGGAAAGTCTCCTTAGATGACAAAATGGTGGGCAATCACACAATACTGGGAATCATGGCCGAGCCAAACTGACGCATATTTTTGGAGGACACAATTCATACTGGCTTCAGCAGTATGCATAGGGCTAGTTTCAGAACCCTGTTGCTGGGCTTGGGGCCTTCTCTATTGATTCCCATCCCCTAGGGTACATATCTGGTCCAGATCCCTTAATGGGTAACTTGGCTTCAACACCACAGGCTATAAGGCCCTTCTTCATTTCAAGGACCTGGATAGTATATGTCCTTTTCTTGTCTTCGAACGGGAAGACTATGCATGTCTGTGTGTGTGGAGTGTGTATGTGTAGAAATCTGTGTGTGTGTGTTGACTTCCAGTACCTGTAGCACCACCATCTTGACCGGAAGTCTGTTTGCAGCCATGAGACTTGGGCAAGCCATGCAATCTCTCTGCTCCTCAACTTCTTCATCAGTAAAATGGGACTAATAATGGTACCCAAAACATAGGGTTGTTGTGAAGCTTTAATAACATTCTAGATGCGGAACCAAACCTTGTTTAACCTCTCACTCACATTATCTATCCATATCCACGTCAGACCAGAAGGGCAAACACCAGAATACAAAACCCTGGTTTTCCCTGGGTGAAAGGTTATGTGTGATTTTAGTTTTATTTGTGTATACATTGTCTGCAATGAGCATGAATTACTTTTGTGATTAGGAAAAAGGCAATAAATGCTGCTTAAAATGTCAGGCACCTGGTTAACTCTTTTTTTTAAATAATGTGTTTTATTTTTTTGGTTGTTGTTTGAGAATATACACAGCAAAACATAACACCAGTTCAACATTTCTAGACATACAATTCAGTGATAGTGATTCCTGGTTAACTCTTTAAATGCTGAGTGCTACCTAGTGCTTAACCAACCAGTTGTCATGGAGTCATTCTGATTCATGGAGACCCCATGTGTATCAGAGCAGAACTGTTCTCCACAGGGTTTTCAGAGGCTGGTTTTTTTGGAAGTGGATCACCAGGTCTTTCTTCCCAGGCACTGCTGGGTAGACTCAAACTACTAACCCTTTGGTTAGCAGCTGAGCTTGTTAACAGTTTGCACCACCCAGGGACTCCAGCTAGAGCTTAACAAACGCTAAAAGATGTGATTGGAATTAACTGACATTTTTGTAGAGGTCCAGTTGGCTAAGGTGAGGAGGCAGGAGGGCAGCCTTGGAGAGCTGTGTTCCCTGTGCTTATGTGTGTTTGAGGGGTGGGACATGTAGAGATAAGAGGAGAAAATCCTAGAGGGTAGACACCGTTCACTGTTCACTGAACCACCCTGTCTGGTTCTGAGAAATCCAGACCCCAAGGGCTACAAGTCTCAACCTCATGCGTCATTCAACAACAACAAATGTTTATGGTGCATGGCAGGGAGGTTGGGCTGACCAAACCAGCCACACCCTTGTCATCATGGAAGCAAGTGATTTTACAAAGTAGTTTCAATTAATAAGGAAGATCGAAGAAGAACTGATGTCTTTGAATTATGGCATTGGCGAAGAATATTGAATATCCCAAGGACCACCAGAGGAACGAACAAGTCTGTCTTGGAAGAAGTATAGCCAGAATGCTCTTCAGAAGCAAGGATGGTGAGACATCATGCCTGGTAAAGTAGAGGGTCAGCAAAAGAGAGGAAGACCCTCAATGGGATGGATTGACACAGTGGCTGCAACATGACCTCAAACATACCAACGATTGTGAGGGTGCAGAGGGACTTGGCAGCGTTTCCTGCTGTTACACATGGGGTAGCTATGAGTCGGAACCAACTTGGTGGCACCTAACCTAACAACACAGTCCCTTGGTGGCGAAAGGGTTAAGCACTTGACTACTAGCTGAAAGGTTGGTAGTTTGAGCCCACCCAGAAGCACTTTGGAAGACAGGCCTGGCGATCTACTTCTGAAAGGTCATGGCCTTGACAATTCTATGGAGCACCTGGTTAACCTAGTTCTACTCTGCACACATGGGGCCGCCATGAGTTGGAATGGACTAGACAACAACTAACAACAACACAGCTGCGTTAGGAGCTTTCCAGAAGCATTGCAGGGGCCACTGAGAAGGATAAGAGGTTGGCTTCGTCCTGCTGTGGAGGGGACAGAGCTTCCCTGGGGAAAGGATGCTTGAGAAAGAGTTGGGGTAGGAGGGGGTGAAGAGGAAGGGTGTCCCAGGCCTGCAGCTCTGAGGCAGGAGCAGCCTCTGGCAGACTCCATCTCTCTCTTTGTCTCCATCTCTGTGTCCCCCGGTGCGTCTCTTGCTCAGGGCCAGGCCACAGTATATGCTCATGAATGTTGTTAAACAAATAATTGGACAAGCCAGGAATTCCTTCCCTCCCCTCATGCCTGGCCAGGTTCACTCCTCATCTTCCCTCTCAGCCCACAGAATGAGGCTAGGCAGGGGCCAGCTAGGGATTTGGGGCTGGCCATCTGCTTGGTGGGGGAGGTGGGGGTGTCCATGCTGGCCCAAGACTTGTTTCCCAAGTGATGGGCTCTTGGGTGCTTGGCCTGTCTCCAGGTCTCCAAGGACTGCCTCAACCCAAGGCATCCATTTGCCCTGGGAGCAGCACCCGGCTGCAGCCTGGCTGGCACTGGTAGAAGGGGCCCCAGCTCATCCACAGCCCTTGTGACACAGCAGCCTGGGGATGAGAGGGAGGGGCTGGCAAGAGCAAGGAAATTAGAAACCAGGGCAGGAGGCTGTCCCCTGAGACACAAACTGTCAGACTGGTCGTCACAGGTCAAGCCAAGTGGACAGTAACTGGTCAGACTCCACTAGATCCATTTCCCTGCCTGCCCCTCCCCCACTTTCTGAGTGGCGGGAGGACAGGGGAAGAAGGAGCCAGCAACCTGGTGTCTAGTTCTTCCTCACTGTGAATGAGAAACTGGCTTCAGGGCCCAATGGCTTCTCGGGCACACACCTGCCTGGCTCCAGAGAACAAGAGCCCCAGCAACAGCAAGGGCAGTGCCGTTGGCTAGTTACCTACTCTGGGCCAGGCCCTGTGTCAGGCCCTTGTGTGTCTTATGGCAGCGAAGCCTCTCAGTGTTTGTTATGTACTGAATTGTGTCCTCCCAAAATATGTGTTGTAAATCCTAACCCCTATACCAGTGGTGGAGCCCTGATGGCGCAGTGGTTAAGAGCTTGGCTGCTAACCAAAAGGTTGGCAGTTCAAATCCACCAGCCGCTCCTTGGAAACCCTATGGGGCAGTTCTACTCTGTCCCTTTAGGGTTTCTATGAGTTGGGATCAACTCGATGGCAACAGGTTTTTTGTTTTTTTTTTTATACCTGTGATTATAATCCCATTTGGAAATGGGTTTTCTTTGTTACGTTAATGAGGTAGTATTAGTGTCGGGTGTGTCTTAAATCAATCCCTTCTGAGATATAAAAGAGTAGATTGAGCCCCATCTAGTGACTGAGGTGCCTGCCCTGACCCTGGCCCTCCACCCCCAGACTCCACTGGCAGCGCAGCGCTCCAGCCTTGTACAGGTGTCGGATGTGAGAGCCTGTGCTTAACTAAGAACTCAGGCCTCACTGGAGACATTCAAGAAAAGGTTGGACAACCACTATTCCAGAACAGAAAAGAAACTCATGCATCAGAAAAGGTGAATAACCATACCAAAAGAACATGGCTGCACAAATACCAGAATCTGATCAGACAAAACAGTTCAAGGAATTTCTTTTTTTTAATTTTTTTTATTTTACTGTACTTCAGGTGAAGGCTTACAGAACAAATAGTTTCTCATGAAACAGTAGTACACATGTTGTTTTATGACATTGGTTAACAACCCCACAACATATCAACTCTCTAAATTCTCAACCTTTTTTTTTTTTTTTGGTGAAAATACACATAGCCAAAGATACACCGTTTCAAAAATTTCTACATACACAGTTCAGTGACATTGACTACGCTCTTCCAATTGTGCTGTTATTCTCACTTAAGATGAAGCCTTACAGAACAAAATAGTTTCTCATTTAACAGTTACTACAAATGTTGCCCTATGACAACGGTTAACAATCTCACAACATATCAACAATATCCTTACTCAACCTTGGGTTCCCTATCACCAGCTTCCTTGTCCCCTTCTGCCTTCTGGCCCTTGTCACTGGACTCCTATACCTTGTTAGTCTCGTTTGGTTTTACGGGGCTGTCCACTCCCAGGCTGAACAGTGAACCTCAGAGGTAACTTCACCACTGAGCTAAAAGTGTGTCTGGGGCCATACTCTTGGGGTTTCTCCAGTCTCCTTTAGGCCAGTAAATCTGGTCTTTTTTTTTTTGTGAGTTAGAATTATGCTCTACATCCTTCTCCAGCTCTGTCCAGAACCCTCTGTTGTGATCCTGGTCAGAGCAGTCAGTGGTGGTAGCCGGGCACCATCTAGCTGTACTGGACTCAGTCCGGTGGAGGCCTTGGTAGCTGTGGACAATTAGTCCTTTGGACTAATCTTTTCTCAAGGAATTTCTTGAAACTACAATAAGCTTACAGAAATCTCCCTTTTGGACTGTGTTAAAGACTTCACAACAACAGAAGTAAAACCTGAAGAGACCACCTGTTCAGAACTTGTTTACAGAAATATTTAAAAATGAGGCAAAGAATATCCATGAGATTTTAGGAATATCATAGTCAGCAGAATGAAGCTCTAGCGGCCAAAGGAGGACTCCTTGGCCAGCCACAGTAGGGAAGTCCTGATGGCTGGACTTTTGATGTAATACTGCTCACAGCTGTGGCACCGGAAATGAAGATTCATTTGATAGACTCCCCTGAAAGCAAAAGTCACCATGTTAAACTGTCTGTCATGACTGTTTGGCAAATGGAAACCACTGGAGAGACAAAATCGCTATGTATCAGGAATAATCAAATAGAATGGCTTGTTGCTTAGTGAAAATAATAAGATTATAAGATTCAGCAGCTTGGTCACTTGATTAGAAAAAGAAACCACTGTTTCTTCAATTGTGACTGTTAATTTTAAAGCAAACTATGTGTTCAATCATGTATGAGATAGCAAAAAAATTTTATTACTAAAAGTAAAATAAATGGAAGTATCACTGAGCAGTTGTTTATATTATATAGTATCATAATATTCTGACTGGACCGTGGATACATTGAAATGTTTTTTAATCGGGATCATCCTCCAAGTTGTTCCTGTTCATTCATGTCCGCATCAAATTGCTATACCCGTTGCCATATCCACTGCTATCGAGTCAACTCTGATGCATAGCAATCCTATAGGACAGAGTAGAAATGCCCCATAGGGTTTCCAAGCAGCAGCTGGTGGGTTTGAACTACCAACCTTCTAGTTAGTAGCCGAACACTTAACCGCTGTGCCACCAGGGCTCTGCCTCGCATTGCTAGTAAATACATAAAACAGTTAGTTGCTAGAAAAAAGAAAAAAAGTAGATTGAGCAAGCAACCAAGCTGGGGGAGACGGGGGAAGACACATGCCATGTCACCTGAAGATCAACCAAGGAGCCAAGGAATAGAAGCTGAAAAGAGAGAAAGACTTTCCCCCAGAGCAGAAAGAGAGAGAGCCTTCCCCAGAACTGGCAGCCTGAATTCGGACTTCTAGCCTCCTAATTAAATTTCTATTTGTTAAAGCCATCTACTTGTAGTATTTCTGTTATAGCAGCACTAGATAACTAAGACGATGTCATTTCCCCCATTTTGGATGTGAGGAAATAGAGGCACAGAGTGGTCACATCACATGCTCAAGGGCACCCAGTAGAAGCAGGGTTTGAACGCAAACCTCACCCCAGGACTGCTCTGCAGGCTGCCTGACAGTCCGGTTACACAGGCTGAAGGAGTTTTGAGCTCATGTGCAAGTTCCTTTCAGTGTGGGGGATGGTTTCTCAGGCCCGGGTGCTGGCAGAGCCAACCCAGCTGCCTCTTTATGGAGCCTTCCTCTCTACTCAGCCATGTCCACAGGGCTCAGGAGGCCCAAGGCCCCTTCCACCTCCTCCCACTGATCAAAGCTGCCTGTAACCTTCCCTGAGATGGGTTACTACCTCTGAAGTTACATAAACAGCTACACCTCCTGAAGTCTGCATGTTACTCTCATCTCTCCTGCATCATATTTCAGCATCAAATCTTAATGGGACTCTCATGATACCCTAGGCCTAGAGATGCAAAGAGAGTCTTGATACCTTGGGAAATTTTATACTTTGAATCCATTGGTATTTGTACCAAGCACTGAGGATACAGACCTGGGCTCTGCCTTCCTGGCGCTCACAGCCCACCTGGGCAAGTAAAAAGTCATCCCGTGATATTTGCCCACCACATTGGTCTCGGTAGAGCGAGAAAGTCAAGCACTTGTTTCAGGAGGCAGTGGGTGTAGGTTTTGTGTGTGTGTGTGTGTGTGACATGATCAGGGCTGTAGGGAAACTCTGAGGACCAATGTGGAGGATAGGCAGGAGTGGGTGTGAGCCCAGGCAAGGCTAAGGTCGTGACTAGGTGAGAAGCCGAAACCCGGGTGATGCAACAGAGGGAATGGGATTGATTCAGAAGCGGATCAGAGGTGGATCATCCGCACTGAGGGTGATGGCACAGGAGGCGTCAAGGCCGGTTCCAATTTACAGCCAGAGCCAGGGTGCTGCCCCTTGCCCGCGACCCCACCACTTCCAGGAATCATTCCCGACGCCCCCAGACACTTGAGGTGCGGATGGGGGGAAGTCTTTCCCAGCCATGGGCCTCTGCTGGGGAGGCTGCCAGGCGTCTGGAGATTCCTGCTGCCGCTTGCGACACTGGATGGCACTTGTCCTTTCCCCATTCGGCCTAGGGTCCGCGGAGACTGCAAACTGAGCGGATTCTACGATCGAGACCCATGACTTGGAATTGACTACAGGAGGGGAGCAGGTTTGGTCTTGAGACCCATCCAGGTCTCACGCATGCGCAGTACCGTGGACTACAATTCCCGCCCTGCACCGCGCGCGTCCGCCGCGCCGGAAGCCCCCCGGAAATGGTAGTTGCGGGGGTCCGTGTCCGACCTTTGTGCTGGGAGCGGGCAGGTTTGGGGAAGAGGCGGTGAGCAAGGAACCCGATGCGGGGAAGCGCACTCGGAGATGGCTTCGGCTGGAGGCGGCGACTGCGCGGCCTCGGCGCCGGACGCGGACCGCCCTCACCAGCGGCCCTTCCTGATCGGGGTGAGCGGCGGCACTGCGAGCGGGAAGGTAAGGGGCTTGACCGCCGACTCCCGTGTCATCGGCCTCGGGCTGGAGAGGAGACCCCAGCCACTGTCTCACGAGGTGCCGTCTCCCAGGCATGGGCGGAGCCGAGGAGCGAAGGGGCTGCCGGCCGCAGTGGGCCAGGGTCGGCTTGGGTGGCAGGCAGGATGTGGGGCGCTTGCCGTCGGGGCTGCTCGCAAGCTGCCCCCTCAGGCCCCCAGGTCCGTGCTGCCACGTGCCCCGCGGCCCCTCCCGCCCATCTCAGCTCCACATGTGGCTGTTACGTCAGTGTCTCCAGAAGCTTGCTCTGCAGAAGCGCTCAGGAAAGGCCCTGAGACCGTGGAAGGCCGAGCGCTTCCAGGCTGGAACCCTGTTTCTTTATTCTTCAGTCGACCGTGTGTGAGAAGATCATGGAGTTGCTGGGGCAGAACGAAGTAGACCACCGACAGCGGAAGTTGGTCATCTTAAGCCAAGACAGGTTCTATAAGGTCCTGACAGCAGAACAGAAGGCGAAGGCCTTGAAGGGACAGTACAATTTCGACCACCCAGGTAGATGGAGAGAGGCCGACAATGGGGAGGAATGGGGGTGAGGGCAGACGGCCCTGAGTGCAATCCCAGCGGGCTTTTGCTCTGTCCAGGGTTGAAAGAGGATGAGGAGACCAGAGGTTCCGTGAAATTTTCCAGATAGCCCTCACAGAGTGGGCTGCGGTTAAGTCAGAAGGACTTTGCTGAGCTCCCTGGGCCCTAGGTGGCCCCTGGCTGGGAACCAGTCAGGAAGCCTCCATAGCAGAGGAGCCTTCTGGACCTCCATGCTGCAATGACTCTAAAACTCGAAAAACCAAACCTGTTACCGTCAAGTCAGTTTCAACTCATAGTAACCATACAGGATAGAGTAGAACTGCTCCATAGGGTTTCAAAGACTAATCTTTATGGGCCCTTTGTACACAGTGCTGTCCCTGATAGCCTTTCATCTCCCCACCTGTCCTGGGCAAAGTCCTCAGAGGTCAGTTATGGATAGGGGTAGGTAAACTAGAGCTGGTGGACTGAAGCACCTTTTCCTGGTCTGGTCAAGGGCCAGGTGAACAGGGGGAGACTGGGTAGTTGAGGGAGAAAAAGTCAGGGTGCCCAGCAACTAATAGCAGATTTACTTGGTGGATGGTTCCTTTGGCCCTTTCCAGGAGGGCACATGGGAAGAAGGCCTGGGAAGCATCAGTCATACTGTGGTGATTTCCCAGAAGAGGGAGGCTGAGGCCTAACCTCTCTCCCTCCCAGCACTGGCTGATTAGAAAGTCCTCATGTACAAAAGGGAAGCTGCCCAGAGGGCCCCTCACAGCTTGGGCAGTGGCCACTGCCTGAGGGCAGCAAGAACAGGGCCATCCCATGGTTTGCAGGACTGCAGAGGCCCCTGTTGCTACCAAATGTAAACTGTAGGGGCAGCTCCTAGTCCAAACGTTCCATAGGGTGCTCAGCTCTCTGTGTCACCTCCACTAGCTGTGGCTGACCCCACAACCCTCTCTTGCTCAAGGGCAGCTGGGCTGGCTTGCTTTTGTCCTATCTCTGCAGATGCTTTTGATAATGACTTGATGCACAGGACTCTGAAAAACATTGTGGAGGGCAAAACTGTTGAGGTCCCCACCTATGATTTTGTGACCCATTCAAGGTAAGTGGCTGTTTCTGGGAGGACTGAGGAAAGAGGCCACACTGGGGTTGGTTAGGGTGCTTCTAGAAGGTTGCCCCACAGGAGCAGCCCTGGTTTCTGAGGACTCTGCCCCCGCCCAGGAGTTAGTGCCCCAGTACTGAAGCTGACTGTGCAGACTGCCTGAGATCCTGTGTCTCCAGAAGGGCCCATTTCCTCGTCCTCACCCCACAGGTTACCGGAGACAACAGTGGTCTACCCTGCAGACGTGGTTCTCTTTGAGGGCATTTTGGTGTTCTACAGCCAGGAGATCCGGGACATGTTCCACCTGCGCCTCTTTGTGGACACTGACTCTGACGTCAGGCTGTCGCGAAGAGGTGAGGTGGACGCAGGCCTTTCGGACCCCCAGCCGAGGCTGGCTACCAGTCCTGAGGCCTGAACACCTCCTTGCTTCTGTCTCTTCAGTTCTTCGGGACGTGCACCGTGGGAGGGACCTGGAGCAGATTCTAACACAGTACACCACGTTTGTCAAGCCAGCCTTTGAGGAGTTCTGCCTGCCGGTACCCACCTTTCACTTACTTGTGAACTCATCTTGCCCGTTTTCAAAAGGATGCATGTTACCCAGTTCTGTGAGACATCTCAATCTTAGAAGAAAGTTACCTGGTTGATAAGTGGGGAGGAATTTAGCTTCTTATTACACCCAAGTGCCCAGGGACTAGTTCTTAGCTCTGAAAAGTTCTCTGTACTTACTGTTTCCTCTGGCTAAAAACCCCCTTCTCCCTTTCCCCATATCTACATTGGCTGCTTCAGCCCTTTGCCCAAATATCTCCTTCTTTGACTTCTGTTTTAACAATGGAAGCCCTCCGTTTTCCCTCCTTTCCCCTCCCCAGCCTCTCTGCCTGCTTTCTCTTTTTTCCAGAGCACTTCTCACCATCTGATATACACTGTGTTTTTTTGCTTGTCCCAAGGGCCCTCCTCCCCTTAGGATGGTAAACTCTGTGAGGGCAGGGACTGTTGTCTGTTCACTGCCCAAAACTGTCTGGCACATAGTGACTTTGGAGGACAGAGCAGAGCTGCCCCATAGGGTTTCCGAGGCTGTAATCTTTACCAGAGCAAACTGCCACATCTTTGTCCGGAGGAGCTGGTGGGTTTGAACCTTCAACCTTTTGGTTAGCAACCAGGTACTTAACCACTGTGCCACTAGGGCTCCTTGTCTGGCACATGATAGGCACTTCATCGCTGTCATCCCGGTTTGCCAGGCTGCTTTTGGTTGGCCCTCTAAGGTCCCAGCTGGTTTGCAGAAAGAAGGAATTAACTTTTGTGTAACCATCTTTCTTTGCCTCCATCTTAAATTTCTAGCTTGATGAGATTTGTGGCTCTGCTCAAATTGGAGTGTTTTAAAGGGAAATTTAACAATTTCTGCTTCTTAAAGATAAAAATATATAACACACAGGAACCAGAACCAGGAAAAACAAATTATGAGTTATTACTTAAAAATTTTTTAAAATAAAGAATCTTTGGGACTTTACATTTCATGTTCTCTGAAGTTTTAGAAAATAACTTGACAGAACTAAATTGACTGTTACTGTCTCTCTCTTATTCACAGAAAGACATTTAGCAAGTAGGTGGCTTAGAGTAAAACTCTGAACACCAGATCTGAGCAGGAAGTACCATCGTCTGCCCAGTGCTCCTGCCAGAGCCCTGAGACTCAGTCTTAGCCTCCCTTGCCCTTACCCTTCACATTTAGCCACTCATTGAGTCCTACTGAATTCTTAACTATTTCTTGACTATAGCCCTTCTTATTCCTGCCAGCAGTTAAGACCCTAATCAGCTCTTTGCTGGACCTTGGCAGCTAGGGTCCTGCCTCTTTCCTGTCTTCCTACCAACCCATCATCTACACTCCACCAGCCACCACACCAAAATGGAAACCGACTCTGGCCCTGTCATGCTCATATTTTCCATGGGCCTCTACTGCCTGAGGTCACAACTGTCTGAAAGACTTGGTTCCTGCCTGCCTCTGGAGCTCATCTCCCGTGACATGTCTCCTTGACCCAAATCCACACGCGAGCAACACTGAATGGTCTGCAGGCCTGTCCCACAGCCCAGACTGTGTCCCCACCTGTAATGCCCTCTGCCTCCCCACTTCTGAGTCACGTGTGTCCTCTCTCGAGTCTGCCTTCCCCAGCTGGTTGGGTCCCTTCTCAGTGGCCCTGCATATCCTGGGAGATCTATCTCCCTGCGTTTACCTAGTAGAGTGGCTGACAGGTACTAGGTCGTAATCAGCAGTAGAATGAATGACTGGATAGACGAATGAATGAATGGATGAGAGCAGGTAGCACAGGCTGACTTTACATGCAGTGTAATGATGTTAACAGAGGATGGGGCATGGCTGTCCCCTGCCCTGCTCCCTTAACTTCCTCCAGGGCCTTTGCAGGAAGCTTCACAATTCCAGAAGAACATCACTGTTGTGGAAAGAGGCCACACGTAACTTAGCCCAAAAAACCAAGCTGCTAGCCCAGAGAACTGCCCTTTAAAATGGTGTCCATGGAAAAGAACAAGAGCAGTGAGCATTCAGACAGACACAAGGGTAGAAGTGCAGTTTCTTTTGGCTGCCTCAGCTTTGCCTTCTGCTTGCTTCCTTGATCACTGTCTCTTAATACCTGGTTGATAAACTACCTCGACTCTCTGTCCCCATCTGCTAACTACACAGGCATCACTAGCACCCTGGGGCTTTTAACTCCCTGCTACTGCCAGCCTGGAGGAACTCAAATCGCCATGGGGGAGGAAGCCTTACAGGAACTTCCTTTTTGCCTTGCAGACAAAGAAGTATGCCGATGTGATCATCCCTCGAGGGGTTGACAATATGGGTAAGAACCAGGCCTGAAGGAGTGTACCTTCTCCTCCCTCCCAGAGCCTGCTAAGCAGGGACAGTTACACATCCCTGTTACTGAGAGCTCCCAGAGGTGTAGTAGCAAGTAGATTTACTGTAAAAATAATTTACTGTTGTTTGACAGGGATTGCTATTTGTTAGCAGGAAGTACTTTAACCAGGCCTTTGTTATTTAACATAAACCCGTGGCAGAAGACTCAGCTGGTAAGTTTTACATCTCACGTCCTAATGTACGTTTTTCTGTGTGCTGAGGTCTGATACCAGATGGATGCCCGAGCGTAAAGAACTGCTTCAGGGAGTAGCTGCTGGCTTTAAATGGAGTGCACCCCCCCCGGGAGGGTGAAACCCCGGGAGCTGATGGCAGCTCTCTGCTGGCTACAGGGTCGTGATGGAGCAGGACCCAGCTAACCCCGCCTTCTGCTGTCTTTGCTGCAGTTGCTATCAACCTGATTGTCCAGCACATCCAGGACATTCTAAACGGTGACATCTGCAAATGGCACCGAGGAGGGTCCAATGGGCGGAGCTACAAGAGGACGTTTTCTGAGCCTGGAGACCATCCTGGGGTGCTGACCTCTGGCAAACGGTCCCACTTGGAGTCCAGCAGCAGACCCCACTAAGGAGCCAGATTTGTTGCTCCCTCAGCCTCCTGGGCAGGCTCCCCGATAGACGTGTGTACAGCGACTGGGCCCCGAGATGTCCACCCCACCCCTAACCCACAACCACCACTTTTTTCTGCATATGTTACAGGGGGGTGATGTTACTCAAACGAGATTCGTCAGGATAGTGGCAGGGCATTCCGGGGTTTTCTCTGCTTCCTCATGCTTAAGGAGTTTTGAAAATCTCTAGGTCACAGAGAAATGCCATGGTAAGCCTCTTACGCTTGCTCCCAGAAGGAGTGCAAGTCATGTGTTTTTTGAAAAATGCCAGGACACTGGCTGGCCCAGTTTCTTTCTCAGACTGACAGCGAATGCAGTTTAAGGAATACGTTTTACAGCGTGCTCCAGTTCACACAGACACGACTCGGGATAACTACTTCCCCTCTCTACACGTTACTCAGCCTCATGTTTTCAGTTTTATTTTACTTTATAACACAGCGCTGGTTGTAACCCATCATCAGCTTAATTTCATGACCTGCTCATGGGTTGTGATCCAGTTTGATAAACACGGATCTGAGAAGCCCTAGAGCCTGAGCCCTCCTAGCTGTGCCTCAAAGACAGTTAGGAAGGAACCCTGGGTCTTCTGTTCACCTGGGGCCCGTGAGCCTGGCTGGCCCTGGCACGGTGGGGCAGGCAGTTGGCAGTCTCACCTAGTTCTGGCTGCAACATGCAGCATCTGCAGCAGACAGCTCTGCACAGGCTGGGGCCACTGCCCCATCCTACAGACTCGGGCCACCTGAGCCCTGGGTGCTGCCTGAGCACAGGCTGTCCCTAGTGCAACTCCACCCAAGGGACCTGCTGGCTTGTAGAGGGTCAAGTAAGTGTTGCTGTACACACCAGTCAGTCTCCCCTACGCTCACTCAGAGTTCATAGCCACAGTCATTAACAAGTGGTGACCTTTGCTCTCTGAGCTCCTGGTTCATCTTTCCTCCCACATAACGGCTGTTTCTGTAAAAGTGATCCTTTCCACCGCCATGAGCTAAGCTGCATGGGCACTTTTCTGATTCCTTTCTACCAAGTATAACCCACTGTACTTACATGAGACATGACATTAGTTAGCTCCTGGGGCTGGTTCTGATATATGGCTCTGGAGCAGTTTTGTCAAACTTATTGTGCCCTTTTGGAGCGAGAATCAATAAATAAACACCAGACACTAATGCTAATTTGTCCCTCTTTTAATTACATAAAAAGGCAAATTAAGGACAAGGAAATGTGTGGATGACACCAACCTTGACTGCTGATGGTGAAGTTGGAGATGCTACTCACTTGTGATGTATCAGCAAAACCTCAGAAGGGATTTTTAAAAATACAGCAATTGTGAGGAGTAAGTTTTTAAATACAGTGATCAGAGAATTCCAATTAAGCCTCCTGAAAGGCTTATTATCATTCAGTTTATTTGATATCGGCTTATTCTGGTTAATTCTTGCAAGGCCTCACTGAAAGCAAGTGCTAAGACACTGCTCTCTTCAGTGGGTTCAACAGTTTTCACAAAGGAAATTTCATCAAAGGGAAAACCAAAACTAGCAACTGCTGAAGTTGGACTGACCTGCTACACCACTGACCTTGCTTTTCTTCCCCAGCGCTAAGCTGCCGAAGTTCTCAGGGTGTCTTAGTTTAGAGGAGTGAGTGGGCCCTGGAATAAACTCCAAACAAGGTGCTCATAAGAGAGTTTCAAGAATGAAACCAGAATAAATTGCAGTAGAATCTTTACCAAGCCCTGGCCAGTCAACTCCAAGCTTAGAGACACTCTACATGTTAAAAACATAAGTCTTTATAAAAGACTGGTTCTACCTTGTCCCGTCCCCAGCAGGGGTGTTCTCCATGTTCTTGTTCTGTTAGTACTTCCGGATCAAGATGTCCCAGCTGTCTTTCCAGCGAAGGGCCCTGAGTTCACTTGGGGGGAGAGAGGTGTCCCCGTACGTTAGTGGGCGCAGGGTGTTAAACACGTGACATGCGGAGGAATACCAGGCCACCACCAGGGCACTGAAGACACTCCTCTGCAGCTGGGACCTGTTGGCATCAGGGCCAGGCACTTGGGTAAGGAAGGCTGGTTCCCCCTCAGCTTCCTACCTGTAAACTCCCCCACCAGCTGTCCTCTTTGCATCTTTACGCCCACAGTCACCTGCCCCGTCCTGTAGATTTACTTCCTGTTTCTCACACGCGTCCCATCCTGTCTAGTCTTCCCGCCACCCCTAACTTTCCGCCCTTATCCCATTCCACCTGGCTGCACTGGGCAAGACCCTCATCTACAGTCTCCACAGCATGAGGTCCACCTCACAGAAGATGCCACAGTACTGCCTCCAAACCCAGCTTAGCCATATCACGTTCCTCCTGAAATACTATGAAGGTCTTGACTACCAAAAAAATAAAGTCCATGCCCTTTTTGCTCGAGCTTAAAGCTCTCTAGGCTCATCTCTAACTCACACCATACAATCTGGCTAATAACCACCTGCTGTTCCAGAATACACCCTGCATTCCTGTTCCTTGCTTTTGCTCTCACTGTTCTCTAGGCCATAAATGTCCTTCCTCGTTTCCCACCCACATGGAGCTGCTTTCATCTCAGTCAGCCGTAACTTCTTCCTGAGTTCCCACAGTGCCTCATTTGTGCCTCTTCTGTGAACTGAACCTGCTCTACGTGACACTGAACCGCCCCCCTCCATCCTGCACAGTGCCTGCACACGGGTTTCTGACTTACTGAGCAGACCCTGGGGATCTGCTTAACCACCTGCCTTCTGCTCAGAGGGAGAACCATGGCGTTAACAAATTCGGATGCATGTGCCACTTCAGTTAGAAGTTAAAAGGAACAACTGCAAAGGGCCTGTACCTGCACAGGTGGTCGCTCACATGCTGCAGGACCATGGGGAGCAGGATGATCTGGAAAGTGAGCGCTGGCAGGTAATGGTAGAGGAAGAGCGTCTTCTCCATCATGAAGAAAGGGAGATAGTTCACTGCCCAGCCCCCACAGCAAAGAGTGCCAGCCAGCACCCAACGCAGCCAACAATCTGGGGAAAAAAGTAACTTTGAACCAGTACTTGTGTTAGCGCCACGAAAGCTCGCTACTTGACTAACAAGGTGACTGACTCATCTCTTAAGTTACACAAATACGTTCTTAGTTCTGGTCTTACTTCCTGTCCTTGCGCCTTCCCTGTCTGGAGAGGGAGTGGACCGTGTCCTGACAATCCCTGTCCTCTGAGAAACACCATCCCCGGAGAGGCCAGGACCCCAGCCTCAGTGTGTTTCTATAGGATCCCCGCTGTCCTTAGTCTACTGCACTGTGCCAGCCTGGCCATCTGGGCTCGTCTGGTTTCATCTCGGAGTGCTGAGTTGGGCTGAGACTCCTGTGGAAGCTTGTGGGGGGTTGCATTTGTCCCCCAGCACAGTGGAGCAGGGAGTCTACTGAGAGGATGGATGGAGCCCCAGCAGTGAAGAGAGGCAGAGCAATGCGAGGACCAGGACCACACCAACAGCCCTCCGGGTCTGGTCCAGACCCTCGCGGAACCTGTCCTCCACTGGGTGTTTTCTCCTTTCTGATTTAAGGTGGGTTTAAGTGGGTTTCTGTTACTTGCAAACAACCACCACAACAAACTCTGGTGATGGCTGGCTAGCTCTTCTTTCCAGCCCCATTCCAAGAGCATGCCGGCAACACGATGCCCTAGGGCAGTGCTCCCGCACTGGAGGCCAGAATGCTCTTCTGCCTGGTCGTCCTGCACTTTATCTGGGAAGCCCCTAACACGATGTGGGAACTTAACTGCAGTACGACCCTCCGGAAGATCAAAATCATTTAAGTCCCCTCACTGCAGAGATGGAAAGGTCGCCTTAAGACATATAGTGGGGTTGCTTGTGCGACTGAGACTGTCACGCACAGTACCCAGCTGCCACCCAAAATGAACTCATGGGAACAACAAGGATGAGGCATTCAAACGAGATGAGTGCAAGCTGTGCTGACCCTCAGGGAGGTCACAGATGCTTCTTCGCCGTCGGAGCAGGTACCAGAAAAAGAGCAGGGCGTAGGCCACCATGGCGAGGCTGGCCGAGGCCCAGATCATGATGTTCCCCAGCAGGTGGATCTGCGCCTGCAGGCACATGGGGAGATCCTGTTAACTACCTGCCTTCTTCTCAGAGAGGGAGAACACATTAACAAATTCAAATGCGTATGCTACTTGGGTTAGAAGTTAAGAGACATTCTAGCATTTGTGAGCCCTTACTACTAATATGGATGTACCCAGTTCACAATGAGATCCTTTTTTTAGAGAAAGAACTAAGATTCTCAACTTTGTACAACTGAAAACTGAGAGGAGGTGGGATTCGTTTTAATGATTCAGCCAACGATGTCAACATCATTCCAAGTCTAAGTACCCAAAGTATGAACTCCTAGCACTGGCTCTATGTGCTTTAACTCAGATCCTGCTTCACAATCATCAGCCCCTCTATCCAGCCTCTGTGTAAGAAGATTTACTGTGAATGTTTACTGAGCACCTACTCTGTACCAGCCCTAAGGAAGCTTTCCTTCTGCTGGATGAAGAGAGACAACAGACACACAAACAGAGCACTAACAGTCTCAACACTAGGTGCTGTGCAGAAAACCAAACAGGAATATTTTAACGCCCTCTTTGCCAGAAGGGGAACACTGCACTCCCATGGAGCAAGGAAGCCTGGGTGTCCTCCGACGAGCTGACACACTCGGGCCTTACCCCTCAGCATTTGGCCGAAGTGTTTTGAGAAAAGCAAGGCACAGGCTTTTGTTAGTAGAGGTTTTGAAGACCTCTGGGACTTTTAGGATGTAATGGCTGATCTTAATGTGAGAAGGAATTTTCACAGAATGAGACGAATTTAAGCTGCTGGCTGTTAGAAGCCTCCACTTACACTGGTCCTGGGGTGCAGCCAGTAGGCGATGTTGGTGTCCAGGGTGACCCACTCCAGCGGGGTGGAGCTGTACTTGTGCTCTGAGTCATCGGTCCTCAGCATCAGCATCCGCCACTGGAAGGAAGCCAGAGACCTCTTAGGCTCAACACGACAGTTGGAAGCCTTCCGTTGTGCAGGGCCTTGTCTAAGGTGTCAGGACATACCCTGCCCCTTTCCTGGAGGAGCCCCACCTCGACTTCAACCGGGTCCCGCAGCGGAGGCACCATGACACGTGGTGAGACTGCTTCCCAGAGACCTGACTTCTGGCCTGGCTGTGGCCATCCCACCCCGCAGCTTGTCACCTCTCCGTACAATAACTGACTGGACTCCATGCTCTCTAAGGCCACTTTCAGATCCAGGACTCCGATTTCACGACTCTGACTTCCTCTAGTGCTCTATTATGTTGAACTTGGCCCATTCTGACCTGACCAAAAGGGCCTTAAAACACCCTGGCAGTGTCACCCCGTTAAATTGATGCGGAATCTCCTCAGTTCCTGAGTATTCCTGACTACAAAGCCACAAGGTAAGGGGCCAACAGTGTTGTATGTGTCACTTCTAATTAAGAGAGGAGAAGAAACATGCATTTTACTGGTGAGTCTGAGGTTCCAGCTTAAAAGACCAAATCTGTGCAGGTAAGAACTCTAAGATCATCACAGTGCTTTGCTGAGCAGCCAGTTTCCAGTGAGCAGTCAGGCCTCCCTCCGCCTGTCACCTGCAGTTCCGAGAACCTGGCCATGAAGCTGAGGTTTCTGCTGACGTCAGCCTGAGTAGGTGAGTGCAGCTCCAGTTCCCTCTCCTTCTGTTCCTGGCCTGACAACATACCAGAACACAAAAGAACATGAGGAGCAGAAGGTCAGTGAGCTCAGAACTGAAGCTGTTTCCCCTGCTTTTCGAACAATCCACAACTAGTCTTCATCAAACTGCACCATCCCCTTTAGTTTGCCCCACCTTATGCAACAGCACCCCATTAACATAAGATCTTTTGGCCCTTAGAAAGCTCAGCTTGCGGTGGGATAAATTAGCCACTTTACAAGGGCACCTCACGGTAAAAAAGATCTTTAGTTGTTTATTGCTTCAGGTAAGTACAAGGAGGAGGTCTGATTGTCACAGAGCCTGGAAAATGTGCTCAGCTCCCACCACAAGGAGCTGGTGTCTATCGGTGTTGCTGTCTTATTAAAGTACGTGCGCTGGAAACCATTCTTCCCAATCCGGCTAACGGCGGCGGGGTCAGGACTCACTTTTCCCGTACCGGTGCTCCTCCACATTCCACACCATGCTCTCATGGAAGCCCCTGGACAGCTTTTCCCCAACCACCTCCAGCTGCCGGAACCCCCAGTCAGGGAGGTGTGCCCCGCTCAGCTGGCAGAACATGGAAGATAAAAACAGGCATACAGGAGAGTTCAAGTTCTCCAGCTCAGGCACATGCTGGCTGGGAGAGGACCCTAGTCACTCTGTCAGCAGCCAGTGAGGGCAGTGGACTCTCCCTGATGGGATCTTTATGTTAGGATTCAGTTCTGAGACATTATAAAAGCATCCATTCTTCAGTGTAAAATAAACATGGCTATGACTACCCAAATGTTCCACCTGGTAAAAAGCCAATGTAGCCTGAAGAGCTGAGAAAATAGATTTTGTGAGCCCACACGTTAAGACAGGCCAAGCCAAAAAGTCAAGCTCTTTACCTTTAAGATGGCAGAAGTGTTCACGTGTACAAACCGAACCTCGGACATTATGGTCTTCCAGATATCCGTATCTGATTCTCTGTTGACAATCTCCTGCAAAAACAAGAGACTGTCAATTACTTCATCCATCTCCAGTTTCCTTAAATGTGAAAATAAAGACCAGCCACAAACAATGAAATTCACTTAAGTCTAATACAAAGGGACACGCCCCCCAGGGGAGGTGAAGGGGGATGATTCTGGATGCAATCATGGACATTCTTCACAATACATGTGGTACCAGATGCTGGCCAGGCGCTGTGAGGAAGCACATGAGAGGTTTTAGAGAAAGGATTTAAGAGATTGGTAATCCTCCTTGCTTTTCTGAAAAGCCCATCCACTGAAAGGGCTCAGACCTCTGGTGAAAAATGGAACATTTCTTAGTCCTTAATCTGCAAATATGAAGATAGCTCAGTTGGAGGTTAGAAAATGGACCTCAGAGAGGGGCTCACGATATGGAGTTGTTGTTATTAGGGGCCACTGAGTCGATTCCGACTCATAGCAACTTCAAGTGACATAGGTGAACTGTCCTATAGGCTTTTCTTGGCTGTCATCTTTATGGAAGCAGATCGCCAAGTCTTTCTCCCGTGGAGCCACTGGGTGGGTTCCAACCACTAACCTTAGGTTGGTAATTGACTGCTTAACTGTTGTGCCACCAGGGTTCCTTGATACAGGGTAAAAAACCAAAACCAACACAAGCAAGCATGGAACATCTTAAAATCTTCCTGTAATCTCATCTCCTCTGATACACAAAACAGATTAACAAGTTCTGTAGAGGAGAAAGTATCTGTTCCCCATGTAAACATCTATGACGTTTTTTATGTAAAAAATCACTTACCTAACTTGACATCTGAATCAGACTTGGTCTACATGCAGTCTCGCACATTTGGTGTCAGAAAGTGCATGTTACTGACTGACAGTCGCAACTCCACGCAGGAACTCACCAGTCTCCAGAGGTTCTGGGCAGGCATGGAGATGTTATAGTCAATATAACAGGAGACCTCCTGGGAGTGGGGGCTCAGAGGGGCTGCGACATCGTGCCTGGAAAACCAAACCAGTGCTTTCAGAAGGAATTCCTCAAACTGACTTTATTTTAAAATTCCTCTGAAAAGTGTTTACTATTTCTTTAAGGGGGAAAAAAGCGACTTTCTGGCACTAAGGCCAGTTCAGTCCTGAAGGATGGCCTGGTCCCAGTCAGCCATCATAGCCTGAGAATGTACCTCCCCAAAGCCTGGAGAAAGGGCAACACTGAATAACCACCTTTCTAGGGGAAAGTATACATTGGTGTGGGATCTCACAAGAAAACCCAATGCAGTGTAACGGTGTTTCTTTCAGATGTGAGTCTAAGATAACTCTGGAGGTATCACCATTCCATGTCTCAGCTGAGTAAGCCACGTCTCAGAGGGAGGTAGCCGCTCTCGTAAGAGCTGGGAGTTTCCCATGTCTGAGGCCCCAACCCGGATGCAGCCATGTCCCAGAGCAGGCCGGTGGCACCCTGGCATTGCTTATGCTTTGCTCTGAACAAAGCTGAGAACTACAGAGGAAGACCTAAAGAAGCAGAAGAGAGAAGACAGCAGGCGTACTCACGTGTTGAGGAGGCGGGTAGTCATGCCGTGGACCAGCTGCACAATGTCTCCGTGCCGTACAGGCCTCGGAGGGTTGTTCACCACCAGCTGGTGCCTGGAAAGACAGTGGGAAGACCGGCATGGGCTTCATCTCACGGGCTCAGGGCCCTGTTAAAATGACAGCACTCGCCAGGCATGTCAACAGCTACAACTTCTCACACCAAAGACAATTTGGAATTTTGGGGCGTCTCAATCACTTTGTACCTCACACTGGGTAAATCAGGATAAAAACAAAACACAAGGCGTGTTTAACTCTTTTCTGAAAACGGCTCAGTGTGATTGCAAATGTGATTGTGTTTCCCATGGTCACATTTCAGCTGCTCTGTATTGTCTATGAATGCTACAGGGATGGATACCCCGTGGCTGTCAAGAAATCTTTCTAACGGACAGATGTCCTGTTCAATATCTGTTCAATAAACATGTACTAAGCACCTATTATGCGCCAGACACTGGGCTGGCTGCTGAGCATATGGTGTCCAACAAGACAGATGTGGCCCATGGCCCCCACACTACTGCAAACCCAATAAGCCAAACCCACTGCCATCGAGTTGATTCTGACTCATAGAGTCCCTACAGGACAGAGTAGAACTGCCCCATAGGGTTTCTAAGGCTGTAATCTTTATGGAAGCAGGCTGCCACATCTTTCTCCCGTGAAGCAGCTGATGAGTTTGAAATGCTGACATTTCGGTTAGCAGCTGAGCGCTTAATCACTGCACTTTCAGGGTGCTACTGCAGTGGGGGAAAAGACAGACACCGAACAAGCAGACAAGCAAACAGCAGTAACTGTATGACAACAGATACAGAAGCCAATGGGGACCACAGTAGAGAATGGAATTGGGGTGGAGGGGGGCTTGGAGAGGGTACTCAAGGAAGCCCCCCTGAGGAGTGACCTTCAAGCCTAAGTAAGAGCAGCGAGCTGTGCAGAAGCATTCCAGGCAGAGGAAGCAGCGTGCGCAAGTCCTGCAGTAGAGGTTTGCCTTGTTCTGGAAACAGAGGGCCGGGAGGGCGAGCGCTATAAGCAAGGGCAGGGCAGGACAGAAGGCTGCAGACTTAAGTAGAAGCGGATCGTGCAGGGCCTGCAGGCCATGAAGAGGAGTCTGCATTTGATTCTGAGTGCAATGAAAGCTCAGGGAGGGGTCTGAGCAGGACAGTAACCTGATGAAATTCACACTGCAGACTACATGGCTGCTGAATGCTGGACTGGAGGGGGCAGGAGAGGAAGGAGGCAGCTGGGGCGGGGAAGGTAGAGACCTGGATGGTTCGAGATCTTGTTGGAGGCAAAATCAACAGGACTTGCTGATGGACTGAATGTGGAGAGTGAGAGAGAGGATGACCCCCATCTTTGAGGTCTGAGCAAGGGATTCCACTTTGGATGAGGGAAAGGCAGAGAAAGGAGCCCCTGTTTTTTGTATGGAGGGGGAAAGGAGGAGGAGGGGAGTTTGGGACATGCCTGTAAAACACCCAAGAGGAGACACCGAGCAGACAGTTCCCACACGAGTGTGGCCCACTGAGGAGTGACCTGACCTTAACTGACCCTGGAATTATCAAAGCTGCGAGGGTGAACGAGATAGCCCATGGGGCAAGTGCAGACAGAGGAGAGGGTACAGGACCGAGCCCTGAGGAGCTGGTCTGATCAGGCCAAGACGTGAGCTAGGCTCTGGACTCACCTCCCAGGATCCTTTACAATCCACCAGTTGTTGACATCTTTGAAGGGGTAACAGGTCACCTGCTGCTGGTGGGAGCTGCCCCGGCCATTCTCGTATCTGCGTGAAGACAGCAACAATGACATGTATCTGGAAGGGGTCAGAGATGGGCCAACAAGCCTTCCTCCCCAGGGCTCAGCAAAGTGAAGATGTCAAATGCTACCCAGCAGAATGTTTAGGGCAGACTAAAGAGAAAACAGAAGAGGAGTTTAAATCTCATAGCGGTGGAAGACATGAACCTAATGGTGCTAAAGCCCAGTGGGAAGCAACATACGTGTGGAAGGTACAGAGCACTGGGGCCCTCCACTCACAAGGCTCGCCCACGTTCACACACAAACAACCAGACCCACTGATGGTCAGGGCCTCAGAGGTCCAGCTTCCTTTGTCTAGCAAATGTCTTCATGTAAAGTGAAAGTTGGTAATATGAGCAACATGGTAAAAACGCATTTGTAATCTTCAAACTAACACGGCCACTTTCCTTACATCATGGGGTAGGTGTTCTGGTGGGAATGAAGCCAGCAGGGCATGGGCTTGCCAAAGACACTTCTCAGAGTGACCTGGGAGCCGTAGGCCACCTCTAGGGGCTGGCCTCGTGTGATGCGAGCCAGTCCTCCCTACAATGAAGCACAAAAGCCAGCAAGTCAAAGAGACAGAAACAAACCCAAACCAGCCTTCCTAACAGCCATTCCTCCAAAACTGGAGTGAGTGCCTATTCCGGGTAGCTCTACCTTTCGGGGAATAATGGGGATGGGTGGTGGCAATTATTACTATAGTATATGATTATGTATAACATCATTGTGTTATATTTCATGACATCATCATAATTCTAGCTGTCACTGGCTGAACGCTGCCTCTGGGGCTAGTACTTGGCTATATCTTCCACTCATCTCCTCATTTAGTTCTTATAAGCATCCTGTGGGATAAGAGCAATTATAGGTTCATTTGCAAGATGAGAAAACTGACACCTGGGTTACGTTAAGAAATTGTCCCAAACACACAGAACTGGCCATTGGTAGAGCCAGGATTTAAAAGCAGGTCTGTTAGATTTCAGAATCTATGCTCTTAACCACTCAACTGGTACATTTGCTATTTCTGCTGAGTTAAAGCATGACTGAATACCAGAGCTGGGTCTGTCATATAAGGCATTTGAAACTGCCCAGATTTTGCAGCACTTGACTGTAAGACGTTCTCAAGCAGGTCACCCTCAATACCTCAGAGAGCTAACCTCTTTATTCCTTCCAGACCATCACTGTGTTCAGAATTAGTTTAGAAATATTGATGTGGAGTGTCTAGTTATCTAGTGCTGAAATAACAAAAATACCGCAAATAGATGGATTTAACAAACAGAAATTTACTCTCTCACAGTCTAGGAGGCTAGAAATCCAAATTCAGGGCATCAGCTCCAGGGAAGGCTTTCTCTCTGTTGGCTCTGGGGAAAGGTCCTTGTCATCAATCTTCCCCAGTTTAGGAGCTTCTCAGCAGAGGGACCCTGTGTCCAAAGGACGTGCTCTGCTCCGCTCCTGGCTCTTCTTGCTTGGTGGTAATGTTGTCCCTCTCCTCTCTGCTTGATTCTCTCTTTTATATCTCAAAAGAGATGGACTCAAGATACAACCTAATCCTGCAGATTGAGTCCTGCCTCATTAACATAACTGCCTCTAATCTTGCCTCATTAATATCACAGAGGTTACTCATATCAGATTATAAAATGGCAGACAACCACACAATACTGGGAATCATGGCCTAGCCAAGTTGACACACATTTTTGGGGGACACAATTCAATCCATAACATGGAATCCTTATTATCTTGACTTGGTTTTTCCTCTCATGCTCATTTGATGATGTTTCTATCAAACTTTGAATCTACCACCTTCTTTCTAAAGTGGCTGCGATTTCCCACTACTTACGTCCAAACTGGCCTGGAAAGCACTCGACATGATTTGGTCGTGAGGCCCAGAGCGGTAGAGTAGAATCAAGTGGATGTAGAAGAAAAGTAAGTACATGAGGATCGGGATGACCAAGAAGGCCACTGTTCTGGCCAGCAGGTGACAGAACACACAGACCTGCCAGAGATTAAAGAAAAAATCACTTCCCACGACACGTACAGGCACATTCGTTTCCAGAGGCCGCATGCTTAGAAAGACTTAGTGACAGAAACTCCTCCCTCTCACGCACAGTGCTCCAGATGAGCCTAACGCAGCCCCTGATATCAGCACCTACATTTGATAAGGTCTGGTCTCCAATCAGGTGCCAGGCGTGGACGGCAGCAACGCTGAGCACGAGCAAGTATGTGAAAACACCCATGTATTTTACGCTGAAAAGACGTGATTAAAAGTAAAATTTTAAATGAGACACAGAAATGAGAAGGAAGGGAATACGTCTAAGATAAGCAGATCAAACTTACCCGACTGCACAGGAACAAGCGACTCCTGTCAGCATTAGCCAAAACCACCAGCTTAGAGAGAAAGGGCTGGAATGAAACAGAAAAACAAAGCAGACAAAGATCGGAACAGCTCATAAAATATTCCCTAAATGCCAGCGAAGGCATATGTTTCTCAGAGAAATCTTTTTGGGTCAGTTAGTTCTACTGAGCACCAGGTACAATAAAAATGAATCCCAGTCTTGCAAAGTATTAGTCCTGGCAGAATTTTCCTTTTAGTCCAGAGAATTTTTCTTAGTTTAAGTTATAGGAAAATACGGTGTATTTATAAACTCATGAGCCAAGGGCCAACCTAGTACAGAAAGGTATTTAGCAAGCAGCCCCTCAAAATAAAAAAGGTAGCAGACTCAGGTAAACAAACCACCTAGATTCTTTTTTCCTGTTTACAAAGCAGGATACATCACATTTCCCATACCTGTGTTTTTGGAGGTTGGAGAACTTCAGGTAGGACAACACAGACAACAGGTTAAAAAATATAAGCACTGATTCCAAAAGTATTAGCCTTGACTGAGTGATGAGAGCATTCTCTGTTGTAAAGATAAAACACGTCGGTTTTAAGGAGAACAAGAGCAAATGTATAAGGCGTTTACAAAAAGGCAAGACAAACAGCAACATTCCAAAGGGTCGCAGACTGTGAAGTGGGACGTTCAGAAAGGAATGGCTGGATGGGAACCATGGGGGTGAGTTCTTAGGTTCGCATCCTGACTACCTAGACCTGTCTGTACGACCTTGGGCAAGTCACTTCACTTTTCTGAGTCTTATTTTTTTGTTTGTTTGCAGAAATAACACTGACTTCATAGGGCCACTGCGAATGTTAAAACATTATATAGCCATACAGCCTCATATAGAACTGTCACTCAATAAACAATAATTCTTACTTTCTAGTCTAACTTTCCATCTGATTAATTTCATTTGTTCATACACCTAAGCTGAAATATTCTTTCTGAAGAGTATCGACTAATTCACGTATCCATCTCAATTAGTCGAGGCCTGGGAGATGGTGTGAAGAGGGGAGATTCTTACTTAGTGACAAACCTGGCTGAAGGTGGATGTGCGCTCATGGTGGACCCTGCAGTGTTTGGGCAGCAGCACACTTCCGTGGCTGCACCTGCTCTAGTAATAACAGTCTGACCACAGACTGCAGCAATCCCATAGCCAAGGGGGTCAGCTGGGAGTCCAAGGAGTCGCACAATCAATTGTGGATGACCTGGATAGGTTTCCCTCCCGTGAGCGGAAGACGCTGTGGGCAGCACACCTACTAGACTCACAAGCTCTCCTAGATATGACACTGAAAAGCAACCCAGGCCAGGGCTGGGTTCTGTTCTTTAGCACCAAGAGGAGGGAGGCAGAGGCCCAGGTCTTACCTATAAGGATCAACAGAGCGGCTCCCATAGCAGCGCAGTGAGAAAAGTGGAGCTCTAACACTATCTGGTAGGCCATGGGGACCAAGAATGCCCCTGTGAGAGCCGGCAGCAAGCGCAAGGACCAGACAGGCACGTTGCTACTGTATTCTGGAAAAGCAACCACACAGCGGTGCTGAGAACACTGCGCACACCACCTTCATATTCGCAGGTGTGCTTTCAAACACAGCATTGCATCACAGCCTCTAAACGGCAAATTTACAAAACTGGGGGCCACCTCAGCAATCAAGTGTGCAAACTCTGGGTGAGGGCTTTGAAATCAGCTTTACGCATTCAAGAAGCCGGCTCTCACTAAGCCTAGGAACGATGAAGGATTCTGAAATTAGTTAATTTTCTCCTTGTTTATAATTTCACCCCACCTATTTCCAAAAACACTGTGGCAACACACAAAATCTGCACATGCAAAAGATGAATGAGATCAGATACCACATAAAGAAAGAGTCTGGTAAGTGTACCAAAAATGAGAGAGAAAATCACTGTAACTTAACAAAGATATTCACCAGACTTTTCTAAAGTCTCACCTGTACCCAAATAACTACCATACCTTGGACTCAGACTAATAAACCACACTTATTAACCCCTAAAAAGCCTCTCTCTCTCCATTCTACTATGTGCACATTAATAAGGAAGTCAAATGAATATGATCTTTTACCTGCTCCAATTCTGTTCCACAAAAAGTTACCATCAAATCCTCCTAAATAACCTAAAACAGAAGATTAATCGGTAACTATCCTGTTCAGGAAATATTTCTGGAGAACCAAACTGTGGCAGGCAATAGGGAAACAATGATACATAAATAATAAGACATGGTTTCTGCCCTCAAGAAATTTCACTTCTAAGTTCTAAATGTCTTGGAGGCCAGAAGTCAATGGCTGCTTCTCCCACAACTAGCCTACCTCCCAAGGCCAGCAGCATGTGGCCGAACGGCGGTCCACTGCCATCCAAGAAGAAGATCCGTTTCATGTAAAAAGAGATGTACTGCCCATAATATACTTCATCAAAACTGAAAACAAAACAAAATCCGTATTATATTCAACTACAAATCTTAACCGTAAAGAAAAGGTGTGAGAATAAGTGTACACATGTGTTTCTAAACAACTAGGTGAATGATCAGCAAAGGCTGGACCTTTTGTCCCAACTATATCCCATTCCCAAATATTAAGACACATACACATATAATCCATCCATGGGACAGGGTGGAAAATTCAGGAACTCAGGATGCTTGCCCAATATAGAAAATTCACCAATTCAGTGGGCACTCAGGACACTTGTTGGATACAGACTCTATTTCTCCTCCAGTTTTTGATTTAGGCATGTACTATGAACCATCCTGCTGAAAGGCCTCAGGGACCCAAGGCTAGTCCCCCGGTCCACCAGCACACATCTGTGGCCAAGAGCTGGAATCAGATCTGTCGACCCAACGAAACAGGCACAGGTATAAAAGAAGACATGGAGGAGCCAACTGCAGTAAGACATTTCCAGACAATCAGGGAAATCTGATGATACTAGGAATTAATGTCAATTTCTTAGTAGTAATAATGACACTGTGGTTATGTGAGGTTTTGTATTTAAGAATCCTTATAAAGATATATACTGAAATATTTATGAATAAAATATAATGTCTAGGATTTGCTTAAAAGTAATCTGCAGGGAGGGGGTTGTCTATGAATTGATAGTTGGTAAAGCTGGGTAATGAGTACACTGGTAGGAGGTCATTATGCTACTCTTCCTACTTTTGTACACATTTGACATTTTTTATAACACTAAACAAAAAAGGATACATGTTTAATAATATAACATAACATTAATAATAACCGCAGTCATTTCCCATTATAACAAAAATCCTTCTCTAAGGTCAATGAAGATTCACTTCCAAATTCATCTATCTTCTGCCATTCAGGGTTTGACACTATCTAAGTCTAGTAGCCAGATCCTCCAGCAGCCACAGTGGTTCTCTCCTCCATTGCCCCTGTTTAACATGCCCAATTTCACCCACTACAGACCTAAGGGGCAAGATCTAAAATGTGTTTTCTGTGGGGACCGTCCCAGGGACAAACTGGCCTCTCCTCTCGTTGCCAAAAACACATCGCAAAGAAGCCCAGCATTTCATCCTCCCACATATGCCGTTTAAAAAGGCACTTACTATCACAAAGAATACTAAACAAATCACAGTTCTTTTTGGATTCACCCAGGGAATGGAGATAGGAGTTGTTTGGCTTACACCACAGCCCGAGGATAGGTGAGTCGCCACAGTCTACTCAGCAATCCCACCCCAGTCAGAGCCACGACATTCAGGTTGATGTCCGCTGTCACCACTAGTGGTTGCCTCAAAAATCCCAACATGTTGAAAAGCAGGCTTGGGAGGACGCCCTGGAAAAGAAGGGAGGAGCTGTCATCGAGAAATGGGTGGCAGCCCTGAAGGGCTCACAGAGGCTACAAAAAGGATCCCAAGCCACCCTGACTCCCAGATGCACCCACGGGGAAGCACAGCGTCCAGAAAGTCAGGAGGAGCTTGTGGTACATCACAATTGGGTGGTTACTGCAAGTTCCACCACCACTGCGCTTCCCAAGCAGAGAAACAATGCAACACTAAGGTTAATGCAAAGATATCTGCTGGGTGGGGTGGGGGGGAGGTAGGGGAGGGCAAAAGGGCAGCAGCAGTAAACCAGGGCTGGAATTCAGGAATCTTAGGACTGACCATTCACTTGCTTTAACAACTCATTCCAAACACCTGCTGAGCACTTCCTGGGAGGAAAAAACCAGCTGCCATGGGTCAGCTCCGACTCATGGCGATCCTACGTGTCAGGTCAGAACTGTGCTCCATAGGATTTTCTTTTTTTAAAATATTTTATTTTTGTTGTTGTTGTTTGGAATATACACAGCAAAAACATACACCAATTCAACTTTCTACATGTACAATTCAGTGACTTTGATTACATTCTTCAAGTGAGTTGTGCAACCATTCTCACCCTCCTTCCGAGCTGTTTCTCCTCCATTAATATAAACTCACCAATCACTAAGGTTCCTATCTTACTTTTCGAGTTGCTATTGTCAATCTGATCTTACAAAGATAAATCTTAAAAGAGCATAATGCTCAAGGCAGACATTCTTTACTAGTTCAGTTAAACTATTGTTTGGTTTTAAGAAGACTTCAGGGGATATTTTTGGTTTAAGGTTTAAAGATTATCTTAGGGCAATAGTTTTGAGGGTTCATCCAGCCTCCATGGCTCCAGAAAGGCTGGATTCCATGTGAATTTGAATTTCTGTTCTATATTTTCCCCCTTTTGATCAGGATTCTTCTATAGAATCTTTGTCAAAATCTTCAGTAATGGTAGCTGGGCATCATCCAGTTCTCCTCGTCTCAAGGCAAACAAGGCTCCATAGGGTTTTCAACAGCTAGGTTTTCAGAAGTGGATCACCAGGACTTTCTTCTGAGTAGCCTCTGGGAAGACTCGAATCACCTATCTTTTGGTTAGCAGCCGGGCTCTCTAACTGTTTGTATCACCCAGGGACTCCCTCCAGGGAGGAAGGCCACTGTTAATGAAGAAGATGGCCTCCCTTGCCCCTCCCAACAGCCAGGTAGTATGGCCACAAGTGATCCTGACTTTGGGCAGCTCCTGGGGTGCCAGAGCAACTGCTTACAGCTGGGTGACTTCAACCTTCCTAAGCCTCAGAGCCTCCCCATCTCTGAAGATATATTTGTCCCCAAGCACCCCCCTTTGCTCCCTGTGGCAGCGCCATGCCCTGGGTACCCCTATTCTTGCCCAAAGGGCACATCTGCCCCCTTTCTGTTCTGAGACTGCATTTACCTCCCTGCCCCCTAAACACACAACCTAAGTCTGCATCTGCCTGTGCTCCACCTTTCTCCCGGCAGACTGAATCTGACTCTGACCCTTTCCATCTCTCCCCAAGGCTACATCTACTCTGGATGTCCCTCTTCTCTCACTGCAACTGCATCTGCCCTGAGCTGAGTGACCCTCTTTGCTTTCTGAGACTTCATCTGCCCCAGAAATGCCCTCCCCACCTCCCAGTCACTCCTCTTCCTTCACACAGGCCGCATCTGACCCGGCCCACCTTCCTTCCCAAAGACTTCATCTGCCCTTCGGTGCCCCCTTTTTTCCCAAGGCTGCGTCTGCCTCTGGGCACCCCATTCTCACCCCAAGGCTACATCAAGCTTCTGGGACTCCCTTCCTTTGCCAAAGCTACTTTTACTCCTGGCCACTAGCTTCTCTTCCCAAAGCTTTATTTGCCGCCAGCGTTCCCTTTCCCTCTCTGTGGATGCACGGGTTCCGGCACTTTTCGCCCCCCTCCTCCTTAACCCCCCACTATATCTGACCCTGGGCTCCTTTCTTGCCCCGTGGCTTCACCTTCCCAGACACCTCCTTCCTTTCCCTTTCCTACTAAAAGCGGCATCCATCCCTGGGCCTCCTTACTGCTGCAGGGTTCCATCTGTCCCAGACGCTATTCTTCTCTCCCACAGACTGTATCTGCGCTGGACGTTCCCCTTCCCGCCCCAAGGCTGCATCTCACCCCGGGCGCCCCCATTCTCAACCCAAGGCTGCACTTGCCCGGAGTGCCCTCTTTCTGACCCGGTGGCTGCACCTGCCCCCGGCCCCGCCCCCTACTCCGGCAGGACGGGGGCATCCGCAGTCACCGCTTGTCCGCAGGCCGCGCACGCGCGTCCCGCACTGACTCTCCCGAGCCTCGACTGGGCTCTCGTCCCCGGCGCCCCTAAACGTACTTGCTTTTCTCCGAGTCCCCGCAAAGCCGCTCCCCGCGCCTGGCCGCGCCTCTGAACAGCCTGGGAGTCCGACCGTTGGTTGCTGTCGCAGCGCGCGGACTCCTGGGCCACTCGGCACTCGGGCTGCTTAAGGTCCTGCTCGACGCTCGATTCGCCGCGTCTGCGAAGCCGAATGGGCGCGGTGCGCTTGCGCACTGGTGCCATACTGGACAGGAGCTTCAAGGGTATAAAAACGAAAAGGAAGGCCCTCCCTCTCCTGAGATTATGATTGTTCGCTGCTTTGATGTTCCAGACATTTCTATGGATATTAGACAGGTGTATCTTTCTAAAACCACAAATGGAATCATATGCATATTTTACTCCTTTCTTTTTCACTCAGTATGGCACGGAGATCTATTTCCTACGTCAGAACATACAGATTTACTTTTTAAAGTGTCTGCTCCAAAGTTCTCTGCTTGGATGAACCAGTTTCTAGCTACTTGGCTAACAAACGTCAGTGCAGTGTTCACTTGCACATAATTCCCTAGCAGAGGCAGGATCAGGGTACGGGCATTTAAGATAGACGTATGTGGTGAGTGCGCCGCTGAGGTACTGCACCCGAAGCCCGGGGTAGGGCCACTCTCCGCATCCCGAGCGGCCTCCCCCACGTGCAGCGGCTTTAGGACGTTCCAAGTCTCTCTCTCCAGCTGGGTCAACCCAACCTCTTCTGGGCATATCCCCAGAACGTCTCACTGGCAGGTCACACTTGGCATGATCGTCACTCCTACTCCCTGCCGAGCCGCGGTGCCTTCCTGGTGTTCATCACTCACCAGCTGCTTCAAGGGCCCGACACAAGACCTTTCTTTAAGTTAATGCATTTTTCTTAATTTTTTCACTAGAATGATTGGCACCCAGGGCCATTAGCTGACAGGAACACAACTCAGCTGATGGATCACCCTTCTCCCCAGACCTCACCCCCTTCCTGATCACCTCGTCTATTTGTATATTAATACACATGGACAAAAAAGAGACTGTGGATGTAATAACACGAATTATGGTTACTGTCTGCAAATTTTTTTCCCACATATTCTAGCATTAGATGCCATCTACAGCCATTTAAGGTTGTACTGAAGGTTGGTTCTGATATACCCCTCATGACTCACCCAGGTCCTTCAGTGTGCTAAGAGGTCAGGGGCTCATCTGGGCCTGGGGCTGGGGAGCACATGCTGCCTGTGGCTGGGTTCTGGGCTGCAAATGAGATCATCAGTGACAGAAGGGTCCCTCGTCCCCAGGAAGGAGTGGGGCAGGCTCTCAGCCTTCTGTGTCCTCAGGCAAGCAGTGCATGCTTAGGGATTCAGAGCCCACATCCCATGGGGCACTCAACCTCAGGCCCAGCCTCCTTCACTGCCACTCCCTCCTGAAGTCGGTCAATCTGTGGAAATGGGTATGGCTGTCACAGCTGAGAGCCGCCCATGCCAAACCTCGACTTTCCCTCATAGCCACGAGGTTCAAGAGGAACCTGGGGGACCTGGGCTCCCCATGGGAACGGGGTTGTACTTACTTGCACACCCAGTCCTAGGCACAGTCCTAAATGCTACCCCCATGACTTTTTTGGATACTCACTATGCCATGAGGTAGATACCGTGAGAATCCGGTTTTATGTTTTATGGTTAAGGCAATCACGACTCAGAGTGGTGGAATGTCTTTCATTCAGCTAGGAGATGGCAGAACTGAGAGCTACTGCCTGATCCCAAATCCAAGCTCTTGATTCAACACCTCCATTCACTGCCCCATGCGTGGCTTATCCCTCTTCCCCACCCCAAAGTGCAGCATAATCCTCCACTGCTTCCTGCAAAAGGCACAACTAGAAGCAGCAACAACACAAGGCAAACCAAGTGCTTATCTCCTCTGACCCCTGGAGGGGGTGTTGGATGAGTCCTGAGGTGTGCCATGGGAACTGGTAACTAATGCCAGCTCAAGCCGGTGGAATTTGCAGACAAATCCATTTCACGAGAAAGGATTCAAGGTCATCCTTGTAATCACATAACTCACTTGCTTCTGCTACCTGCAGAATGTGCCTAGACAGTAGGGGGTGGTGGATACAAACACATTTTAAAGACGTACCTCAACCATGGGCTTCAGTCCCTTCTCTCCCCTGGTCATTAAGTTAAGGCAACGAAGTACAGACCAAACTAAACCCACTGCTGTCAAGCAGATGCTGACTCATAGCACCCCATGCATTACAGAGTAGAACTGCTCCATGCGGTTTTCTTGGCTGCAGTCTTTACAGAAGCAGATCACAAAGTATTGCTGGATGGGTTCGAACCGCCAACCTTTAGGTTAGTAGTTGAGTGCAAAATGTTTGTTCCACTCAGGGACCTCTCAGCCAAGTTATTCCTCCCTAATTTCCAGGTACACTGTCTGCAAAACTAAAACTCTCTCATCTGTAAGTCTCTCCAGTCAAATGACCGAGAAACAAGGGACACGCAACCTGAGAAAGCATGTTCAGTTTTATTTTTTTTTTTAACTTTTTTTTTTATTTAAATAAGGAGAATTCTTTCATATGGAAAGAGCTAGTACAATCACATATTTGAAAGGAGAAACAATAGGTACTGAACCTGGGTGAAAGGGCAAAGGGTGAGTGCCACTACTGGGCCTGGAGAATCCATGATTCAATTTCCCATCCAAGGTAAAAGTTCCCAAAAAATAATGTATAAACAAGTTGCACATTACACTTTAAGCCATCGTCTGCCCTTTCAAATATCTGGTCTACATGAAAAGACAAGGAGAGGAAAGGCCAAAATAAACAGTAACAAAAGGAAACAAACAAGAATCCCTCTCAAGAACAAAACAAAAAACCCCCAAACCCTTTTTACTATGCAAGGCATGAGGTTAAAAGCTTAGAGTACAGAATCCCCTTTAAACAACGGAAGAAGTTGTCCACACAGAGCCTTAATAGAAACTTCCACTCCAAGGCTTCGTAACATGCTGAAGATGGGGCGCTGGGGACACGGCTACCATCTTCGTGGCCATCAAGCTGGGGTGGAGGAATGGGTGAGCAGTGGGTCTGATGTGCCTGGAAGACCACTGTAGCCAAGTACATGCTGGTGGTCCCGGTGGGCAGCACAGCTGGGTCACAGTGGGGTTTCCAGAGAGCTCATCTCTGTTTCCAGCATTCGAGCCACTCCTGTCCTGGAGGATCTATTTGTCTTAGGCCCACCTCACATTCAGAGGAAAGCTGGCTTTCTGGAAGTCTGTTTCCCATTCATCACAGAACACAACAAAGCACAAACACCCTAGCGTCCTTGGTTGTCAAAGGCCATTTCCAACGGACCTTGTAACCCAGGCTTGCTCTGCAAGAAGTAAAAAGGGACAAAACAGATTTGAGCGGCCACATGCAACTATTTGGTGGAGGGGAACCAAACAGCAGGGAGGAGGGCTCTTCCAGAGTTGCCGCACACTGCCTCAGCAGGCCGGTTCCTGACACAGTCTCCTTGGCTCTGAGCATCAGTCAAAAACTCCATCATTAACCACCCACAAGTACAGGAGGCATTGCTGGTGAGAACTGATGCCTGTATTTAATGACAAAATACTCCAATATCCCTGGAATAACCACAGTGTTGGAACTGAACCAATTTTTCTGAATGTGTACTAAAGTCACCCCTTTTCCTTCCCCTTAAGGAACCTATAGCCAGAAGCATATTAATTCCAGATTTCAGAACAATAACCATGTGAATAGAAAGGGGGAAGCAACAGTAAAGAAAACCCGACCAAACGCAGCTAGCATAGAGGTCTTCGGTGGGTGGGCAGCACCCTTCAGATACACAACCCCCCACTCCGGCATTTCACTGGGTTGAGTAGTCAACGGTGGACACACACTGCTGCAGGGGCGCTGGCTGCCCAGCAACAGACAGCAACCTCAGTGGCCAGGGCAAAGCTGCATCAAGGAGGGTGTTTTTAGCAAGCAAATGTGCCCCCCACCCGTCTCAGCAGCAGAATAGGTTAAGTGCTGGCCGTCACCTGTTCCCCCAAAGGCCCCATGGCCTCCTGGCAGAAGCCTCTGCATGTATTTGCACCCTGAGGATGGGGGCTTGGAACCAAAACAAGACCCTAAGTCCTATTACCTTGAGCTTAGCTCTAAAACCACATGAGAGGAGGAGAGATATTGCACCTTAAAACATCTCTGCACTAAAAAAACTGCATTTAATTAATCAGACAAAGGAAGGGGTTGGGGTGTCAGAGGCCCACAGTCATGCCCTCAGCCCCTACAAAGTCTAATTTAAAATCTGTATCTCAGCGGGGAGGAGACCGCAGCTTAAGTCACACGGAGGTGGTGAACGCACTCAACTTCACATGCAAATCTTGGCCTTTCCTGCACAGAATAATTCAGACATTATATATAAATAGAGCAGTGAAACATTTACTTTTTTTTTTCACCTAGACCTACAACATCAATACATATAAATAAATTCTAGTGTTTTTTTTTGTTTTTATTTGGGGAAGAGAGGAGGGGGAGAATTATAGGATAAGAGAAAAGGGCTGGAGAACAGGCAACCTTTTTATTTTCTTTTCTCAAACAGAAGTACTGTCATTCTGACTGCAGGCGCACCTGACATGTACTTCTTGAGTTTGTAACAGCATCCAGGACTGTTCTGTTGAATTTCAAATGAGAAGAAAATCTGTTTTTCTTTGACAAATAAGTGCACCGGAATCAGGTGTGAGTGGGTCTTGGACGTATTTTAAAGTGTACAGGCAGAGATGAATCTGTGTGGCTTCAGCAGACCCAGACTCATTCAGGGGTAGCTTGGCAATGCTGGCAGGGTGGGCGTGGTGAGGAGCTGTGGTCAGGGCAGGGCTCACCACAGCACAGGGGAGACGGGAAGAGCAGATGAGAGACACCAGGCAGGTGAGTGCTGGTAATGCCAAGTGAGCAGTCCTTTGAGAAGGGACTCATGAATAAAGTTTTGTGAGGCAAAGAAGAAGGAGAGGAAAAAAAAAAAAAAAAAGATAAGACAGTACGAAGGAAGGTCTGAAGGTAAAGGCAAAAAGAGGAGTTGCTAAAGCTATAAATTAAGCAGTAAAGCATCTTTCAATAAAACTGCCCCTTCCCCAGATGGTACCCAGGACGAGAGATCCCAGCACTCTTTGCTGGGAGATTATTCACTCCCTGAACTTCTTTAAAATGGTAAAGAACAACAACAAAGTTACTTTACCAGTTCCTAAGAAGTGTCTTTCCCCATGCTCTGTGGGAACAGGGGGTGGAGGAAAGGAGTTGCCACACTACAGATGTGGAGCTTAGAACTCAAGACGCTGAGCCGCTGTCACGTGCCCGGTGACACCAAGCTCCTCCCCATGTCCCAGTCCCTGTCCGGCATGTTTTCTGAGCTGGTCTCCTTTGGAACCACCAGAGGATAGCCTGCAGCAACTCCTGCAGGTAGACTGCTGGTCAGTTAGTTACTCTAAAAAGCATCTGAGAAACTTGAAATTTCCCCTCCCTTTTTCCTTGGGATGATAGAATTCAGGACAAATTCCTTCTGTTTCTTATTTTTTTAAAAAAGGGCATAAAACAACTCACACAAAAACTTCACTAGAGGAAACTTTACAGACTTAAGACGCTGCCTTTTTTTGGAGGCTGTCCAGGCTGTGTTTGAACCATGGCCAGCTCTGTGACCACTCGCCTCAGGCCTGCCCAGCTGTACAGGCCCATGAGACTGACACGTGTTGCCCAGCCCAGGTCCCTCGGTCCCAATAACCTGGGTCTGCTGCTGGGAGCAAAGAAAAGGAAAAAAGAAAAGTTCTCGGCAGCCTTGTAGACCACACACCTTTGCTGCCGTTTCAACCCCCAAACGGTCCAGGTACTCCTGTCACTATACAGATGAATCTCGTTTTTAGGGATGAGCTGTGTGAGAAGCGGAGATGGGAGGACGCAGAGGAGAAAGAGGCAGGCTCAGGAAGAAGGAAGCAAAGTGAATTATATATGGAAACTGTCAAGGAAAGGAAGCAAGCATGAAAACACAGCAGCCCCCAAGGGACTGGGTGGTGGAAAGACCCCAAAACAGAGCATGCTGATGGGGCCTGTGGGTCCTGTCAGCTCTCATCATCCTGGCAAACTGTGGAAAACACCAGGGATTTTGCATTTCCATGATTTATGTCCCTAGGGTCAGTGTATCAGCTGGCTTCAGAAGAGTCCAGGACAAAAATTCTGTGTAATTTTTAAGCTAAAAACACCATCAGCTTCATGGGGCTGCCTGTAAGTCCCCTGGGGTCACAGGACTAGGGGTGGGAGCTCGACTGAGACACCGACCTACTTTCCGCTTTGCTCACACCACTGCTTCCAAAGCACATACATGAATATCAAAAAATGCTCATGATCAGTGCCTTAAACAACCTCCATTTCTTTTTGCAAATAATCTCAAAGGTTAACCAACCAAGGCTAACCCAATAGGGAGGGGACGCATTCTTAAGCGTCATCTCTTATGGTATCGCAGTGATGTCTCCAAATAAACGGGAGGGAGTTAAAGGAAACCACTGGTGACAGAAGGGGTGATGAGGGAGAGGATGGTGAAGAACTTGTATAAAAGTTCAGCTATACAGAGCTTGTGTTTCTGTTTTCTTTTCCTTTCCCTTTCATAACAATCATAGTTGCTTTTAAAAACAAAAAGCCTCAAACTCAAAACGACCCTGCTGCCAAACCACTGTGTCTGGGTACCGTGAGGGTGGGCTGGAGCCGGGAAAGGGGCAGGAAGGGCAGCACTGCGGAGAAAGCGCCCTGGCCATGAGGAGCAGGGCAGGGTGGGAGGGGAGCACGAGGAAGGAGGGGTTAATCTGCACTGCACAAAAGGCTTGAGTCACTCCACAGTCATGGTGGAAAGGAGAAGATGAGAATGAAGGAGTCGTTTGCTTTTTTGTTTGTTTCATATTAAAGCAAGCAGGTCAATGCCATATATCCACGGGTACAAGCTGGTTGGACAATGGAGCTTTCAGGAGTGGAGAAGAGAAGGGAGATCTCTCTCTCAGACCGGGCCAGGTGGTTGGACGATGGATCTGGTGAGATTTCCAAGTATCCAGCTGTCGATACTTGGCTGATACTGTTGAGGCCAAGTGGCAGCACTGTCTTCATCTAGGGGCGAGGCGGTGGTGGTGGCCGAGCACCTTCAGGCCTTGCTCTCCTCCACTTTCACTGCCCGAGGCTTGATTGCTCCGGTTCGCTTAATCTGGGAGGCAGCTGAGGGGGCCTCCTGCAGCTTCACAGATCCCAGGCTGGGTTTTTCATCCACTCGCTGTTTTGCCTTTGGACAGATGAGTGAGGAAAAAGTTAACCTAATGCAGAAACATCCAACTGGATACATAGCTCCCACCAACTCCTTCCTGCTCCGCAGAGGAAAAGCTACCCTGAGAAGTCCATCCTTTGGCCGAAGGACTGGACTTAGAAATAACTTGCCTAAATAAGTGAAACTGGCATGTGACTGCTCTGTTCCCTTCCAGCGGGTCTGACTTCAGTGACTGGAGAGGTAGGAAGACACTGCTCCCTCCAGGAAGCACCCAGTGATGCCCACAGGCCTCTGCAGGAGTGGCAGCTTCCCAGGACTAAGGCATCTCTGGTCCCAAGGCCAATGGAAAGAATCTTTTCAAATCAGTGCGCCCCATGCCTCACACGCAAAAAAGCACTTCCAAGTAGATCAACTGCATCCTACAAGTTTTGAAGCCCAAAAAACTTGCTTAGGGGACTGGGGTCGGGGGTGGGATGTGTCTCTGGGCAGATTTAGATCTCCCAGATGTTTGACCATTATTCAGTCAACCTTATGACTCCCACTTTGTAGAAACCTTCCCCAGGGCCCACGTTTGACCTCTTAGCTTCCCACTCAAGGTTCCATTAACCTGCTGTCCTACAGAGTGGAGTGTGCCAAAGGAACTAACACACGGTTCTGCCCCTCATACAATGGTTTGAACTCCAGAAGAAAGCTTCAGCAGCTCATCCCATGAAATTCAAGTAGCACCCTCCAGGGGAACCCAAAAAGGAGGAGTGAAATGAGACCAGTCAACCTTCCACCTCACCAACCAGTACCGCTCTTTTATTAAAAAAACTACGCCTGAGGTTTCTGAGCTCTGGGACCCCAGTTTTATTTTAGGGTATCAGTGAAGAGAACAGTGCTTGACGGAAGAGACACTGAAAAATTCTTTTTATTATAAAACACTTAATCCCACCCAGCCAAGACAAAGACAAGACACGCCACTTACTAGAGCTAGCACATGCACGCACACACACACACACCCCGGCTTCTACAGCTAACCCACAGACCTAACCGGGTCTCCCAGAGCGCCTTTTCAGCCCAACATTGCTACAGGTAGTACACCTTCTGGCATCACCTCCTCAGAGGAATCAGTATCCTCCCTTCTCTGCAGAGAAGGAAGGATCCAGACGCCCGTCAAGAGGAGAAATGCCTTCACCAGGAGGGACTCGGGCTGCCCAGCTCCTGGTTCCATGATCTAACCACTAGGGCATGTCGCTCTTTATAAAAGCAGCACTCAAAAATAGGTTGGACAGCCCCTTCTCTTTTGGCGCTTGGAGACAGGCCTAAGTGACCCGGGCTGGAGGATCTGGAAAGCCATCTTCTACCTGTTGAACGTAGTGTCCCTGCACAGAGCCCATGTTAACTGCTGATCCAGAGGGCTTCCCACTGGGGCTAGCAGAGCTAGGCCTGAAAAAACCAAAGGCAGGGGTGAGAATACACAATGTGTCACCACAGAAACGGAATCAAAGCCTAGCACGCGGAGGAGGCATGAGGAAGGATGGGCCCCTGTGGCCAGAGGCACTTACTCTGGGCAGTCTGTAGACCTTCCAGATGGAAAAACAAAGACCTAAGAAAGCCAAGAATGCAGAAGGGGGGAGGGGCAGTAGTCACTGTCTACCTTAGCACCTCAAACACAGAGCTTACAGGATGTACCAAAGGGAGAGGAGAGGCCGAGGAACTCTACCTGGACAGACACTGATGGCCTCTATCTGGACCTGTCCTACTACAGATGGACGGACGAACACTCACCGTCTGTACCTGGACTTCTGTTCTACTATGGAAGGACGGACGCTGACTGCCTCTACCTGGACTTCTACTGTGGGCGGACAGACACTGACCATCTCCAGGGTTTTGATGGTCTGCACCAACATGATGCAGTGCCTCAGGCTAAGATCTATAAACTTGATACTAAACCAGAATCATGCTGGGTATTTTTCTAATTATCACTTTTAGGAGGGGGTAGGAAGGAGATAAAAGGGAACAAAAATCTGTAACATCCTTCTAAATGTATTCCACTTGACCACTAGTTCCCAGGGATGTTAATCAGGTGCCACATGAAAAAAGGTTCAGTGGTCAAAAAACTTGAGAAATGCTATTTATACAAAGTGAAACAGGACTCTTGACTGCAGGACTGCTACTCTCCAACCAGCTGTACTGGATAGAGTACTCCCCAGGAACGTGACCAGGAAACGTGTTTTTTGCAGGGCATGTCTCAGAAGTCCTGCTTCTAGAAACTTTGGGAAACACTGCTCTAAAACATATCCCAATTTCCCAAGCCCTACGCGCACCCGCCCACCAAACACCAACAAAATAAAGGCTACCAATGAAGGTTTCTATTTTCTAAATATTCTCCAGAGAAGAAAGCTGTGGCCTATCCTACATCAAGTGAACACAGGTGACTCTTGTTAAATGCGCTTTCATCGTCTGGATTTTGCCTCGCTGGGGAAGGCTCTGTAGTCAGCTGTTGTTACAGAGTCTGCTGCTGGCAGCAGGGGAACTACAGTATCTGTTCATACTTGAAGCACAAGGAGCTTCCTCCTTTCTTCCAAATTGTACCCGTTGTCCTGCGCTGCTGTCTAAATGCCTTTCTCATGTAAATTGTTGTTTTGGCCTATGTGAAAAATATGGTTGGAAAACAACAACAAACTAAAGCCCAGGGAGTGAAAATAAGAACACAAAAGAAGATGAAATGGGGGAAAACGTCACAAAAATCCTGTTCTCTGGAAGTGTGGAATGAAGGTGATAGAGGTGGACTCAGCCTTGACATTCAAAGAGCCATGGGGTAGAGAGACTACTGCAAGAACAGTTCGCAGGCAAAGGAGAGTCGATTTGAAAGAGTGCCCCTCGATTGATGAAGCAGCCCTGCCCGCGTCCTGGAGCTGCGGCATTAACCTATCACAGGCACTGCAGGTCATATATGTTTTTTACTCATTTGCAAAACAGGAGGGGGTTCCCAGGGAACCTCCCACATATAATAAGAGTCGACTGTACAGAACCTTCAAGGCCCAAATCCAGAGCACACTGCTTTCCCATCCCAACACATTCCTATGGATGAAAAAAACGAGCATAACAAGGGGTTCTCTGCCATGGTTCAACAAAGCCACTTCTGAATCATGCTAAGGGAACCTGGGACACTCACCAGAGCTGGAGACAGACACAGAAGGAGCATGCCATTGGTGCTGTTTAAGCAATGGCACCACAAGCCTAGCAGTAAAAAGTCCCCTGGCAGCGGGGTTGGGGGCCAGATCAGGTGAAGCAAGACTCCCTGGGAAAGGTCACTCTCCCCCCTGGCAGGGATGTGCCTCATTGGCCAGTGAGTCCTTTTTTTTAATTTGGTGACAAAGCTGTTAAGTAGTCATTATTGGTCCTGACACCAATTAAAACATTAGCCATTCTTTCTTCTACCTTCTCTGAAAGCTCTCCCAATCCAGGGCATTTTATTATGATGATTAAAAGCACAACAAAAACCACTCTCTCCATTCCTGGCTTTCCCATGGTAACTAACACACGAGTGTGCCCCACCAGTGAAACTTCACGGTGACTCACATCAGCCTCAAAGGGGACCAGGCATCAACAAAGCCTTTCCCCCAGTTGCTGGGCCCCACCTAATTCATCTGAGCCACTGAGTCAGGTCTACAGCGAATGCTCACTATTCAGTATCCAAGCCCCAGGGCATTTCTTACCTGTAGGTCTGTGGCGATGGTACAGAGCCTCCTGAAGGAATATTCTGTTTACTGTCGGCAAAGTGGAAGCCCTTCATCTCCATCTGAGAGGACTACAGGAGACCAAGAAGCAATAAACTGTCAGTTCATGGCCCTAAGACAGGCCGGTCCTCACTGAGCGGCACTGGGCAGAGCCGGTGAGTGCCCATGAGAATTCCTAAACAGAGAGGCATCTTCTAAAGGAATTTGCACCTCCTCCTAATTCAGGCTCAAAAGAGGGTTTTGCTTCTCAGAAGCAGGAACCATCACGTGTTTTTGTTCTTTTAAATGGGGCAGGGGAGAGCTAATTGTACACAACCACAGGGGACTGATCAAGAAGGCCATCCTGTGAAGGTTTTCCTGTCTACCCCAGAAGTCAATCAGAAAAGAATCACTTGGGGCGCGGGTGAAGAATACAGATTCCTGAACCTCACCCCTAGATATACTGATCAATTTCTAGAACCTGCATCTGAAATGGGCTCCACAGAAGGTTCCTCAGCTCCCGAAACCCTTGGCCAGTTGACCCAAGGGCAGCAACTGCATGTCTTACACACACACCGGCTTGTTTCTGCTACCGTCTTACACATACACCAAGCGGTGCCTGACATCTGGGACGCCAAGAGGACTCCACAACAAGCAGACAAGCGGTAGTCTGGTGGAGCTAGGCATCCCAGACCACTGGTGATTTCCACCAGAGGTTCCTGACGTTTTAGAATCTGAATGTCCTGACGAGCTAGAAAGGACTGGTAAGATGAGGTCCCTTTCCCAGGACCATACCAAGATGGAGTGATCTTTACCTCTCTGCTGGTGTTAAGGACCGAAGGCTGGGACCCAGGTGGAAGAACTCTTCTTGGGGCTCCGACAGAGAGGCTCGGCCCCTGGGGCAGCTGAATGGACTGTGGCAGGATCAGTGGCTGCTGACCAGACCCGTACCGAGGCAGAGGCAGCTGGGAGCCAGGCAGCGGCATTGTTAACTGCTGGATGACAGGGACAGTCACAAGGAAGAATGGATGTTGGGGAGAAAGCCACAAACCACTGCTTACATATGCATCCAAGGGCTACTATATTCTATTTTTAAATAAGTAGCTTCAGATTCTTAGTTTTAAAAAATTAAAGTGAGACACCTGCACAGCAGTGAAGGTTCTGTACTTCTCTGACAGCCCAGGAGCGGTTATCAGAGATTGTACACTCTTAATGGCAGGGGTAAGTCTTATCGCTGAGAAAATAAATGCAGTGCTAAATTGGTTCCAGACAGCATGCACCACACATTAAAGAGTTAACAGCATAAGTCTGCATCTTCTCTATGAGTCTGCAAAGGGCTGCACGTATCTTCAGTCCTTCTTGCCTTCACTCAAGAAATGTTTACTGAAAGCGGTGTGCTGGGGAAGAGGGCAGGGCAGCCAGACATGGCAAGAGGCAATGATGCTCGTGTGTGAAGTACAGAGTGTGAAGCGTGCGTGTGCGTGTGTGTGTGTGTGTCTGTGTTTGAGGGGGAGGGGGAGTTAGGAAGGGCCAGGAAGGCTTCTTAGGAAGTCATGTTGAAGCCAAGTCCTAAAAGATGAAAGTTATATAGAAAAGTTGTCTTTGTATCCCCCACAGCAAAGAAAAACGCCAAACTCCTTCACTGTTTTGCATCCACTGGTGTTAGAAAACAAGACTCTGGGATTGAGGGTTCAAACTGGAGCCTCGGGAATCTTTTCGAAGCAGGCTATCACAGGATGGGAGGTGACCGCAGAGCCCAAAGGACCACTTCTAAAGTCCAGAACATGACAGGTGAGAGAAGAAGTAGATGGGTTGGAAGATTCTCAGGACTGGGGTGGGTGGGCTTCCTGATAAGTGGGGGCCGCCTCAGTCTCTCAGTCACTTTCCTCTTCATCTCCCTGCTATTGAGTCCACAGTGAAGGGTCAGAAGGATCTATTGGAATTACATCATCGAGACTTGTGGCAGCTCCTCTTTGGAGCTCCAATGGGATGTGGGATGAAGAGGACAATTCTATTATCTTTAGAGCCCTGACTAGGTGTGTGGCATGACCTGACTTACATTTTAAAGGGAGCACCCTAGCTTCTGTGTTGAGGACAGACTGTGGGAGCCCAAAAGCAGAGGCAGGAGGGCCTGTAGTAGCTTGGAAAGGGAGGTGGGACGGAGGTGATGAGAAATGGCTGGATTCTGAGTACACTTTAAGGTGCAGCTGACAGAATTTACTAAAGGACCAGATGGGAGTGTCGGGGAAGTAGGGAGCCAAGGATGACGTGGACTGAACAACCAGAAAGACCATGGGGAAAATCATGTGGCTAAGCTTGAGATGCCACAGACATCATAGTAGAGATACTGAGTAGTCAGTGAAACATGAGATTCAAGTTCAGGAGACAGATCTGCGCTGGAGACATAAATGTGGGAGTAGTTGGAGCACAGATGGTACGTAGAACCAGGAGAATAAACAGGGTTACCCAGAAGAGGCCCCAGGACTGTGCCTGGGGGCATACCAACCATTAGAGACTGAGGAGGTGAGACGAAACAGCAGAGAAGACTAAGGAGGGATTTTAGGGAGGAAAGCCAGGAGAAATGTCCCCGAAAATGGTGACAAACATGACTCAGGTGGAAGGAGTGACTGCTGTGTCAGATGCTGCTGATGGGGCAGGAGAACGAAGATTAAGAATAAAGCATCAGATTAAATAACACGGAATTTATTGGTGTCCTTAAAAAAACCTGCAGGGGAACCACAGCAGGAAATGTAGTCAAAAGAGGTCCCCACACCAAGAGAGTACTTTAATAGCAAGTCTGCAAGCAGACAGGCAGGAAAGACAGGGAGATGAGCTGGAGCAAAGTCCCAGAGTGGGCAGAAAGGCCAAACCAGCCGCGTAAGTGGAGCCTGGCCTCCTATAGGAGCCCAGCAGGTTCATCCATAGCATCAGGGGAAGTCGCCAGCGAGGCACCAACACACCCGGGCAGGAGATGTAGGGGTGGGAGCAGGGAGGTCAGTATGGCAGAGGCAGGATTGGATTTAACTAAGATTTTGTCGAGTGAATGAAAAGCTGGGCTCTGATGGACGAGCTAATGGAAAAGGAAGGAAGTGAGGCTATAAGAGGTAAGGGATGATAAGAAGGTGGTTTGTAGGTCTCAGGGGATCAAAGCATGGGTCACTAGAGGGAATGAGAAATGTCAGAGTTGGAAGGTTGAGTAGGACCCTTAAACTTGAGATTGCTACGGAAGAGGTACAGCTGTTGGCCATGATCAAGTCTGGACTACAGTGGGAACAGAGTGGGTGGCTGGGTGGACCAGAACACTGGTGGAGAGGTCACAGGGCTGAGAACTGGGTACATGGGGACAAAGACCTGGGGGTCATCGACATGGATATGGAACCACCAAGGACTAGAGCAGGAGTAGAGTGGAAAGAGCTGTGGGCCGGGGGCCAAGTGAGGGCAGCCACCTTCAAAGGAACCAATACAAACAAACAACAGATCAAGGGAGACAAGAGTGTGGATCACATGCTGGATTTAGTGACATGGAGTTCATAGTGGCATGGAGGGATAGTGAGGCACAGTCTGACAGTATGGGCTTCAAAACTGAGGGTTGCAGGGAGAAGGTACGGGGAGTGGTCTAGAAGTATCCGTGAGTATGCAGAGGATACTGACCCCCATCTCCAGGCCCTACAGTTCAAGGGCTGGGAGAGACAAAGGGCCTTCATGTAAGGGGGCTGCAGAGAAGCAGTGTTCCTAGGGGAAAGCCAGGGTTAGGGGAGTGAGGGAGGAGAGGTAAAGGCACTATTCAGAAGACGCTGAGGACCTAGCCCAGGTTCTAGCAGCCTGGGACCAGTCCCAGTGGCTACAAACGGCATGGTAAGTTAGCACACAGAAAAGAGCAGATAAAAGGGAAAAACAAAGTCATAACGAAAAAGGCCTAGTGTTTTTGGGTGAGAAAGACTGAATTCCTGACCTGTGGGAGCTGGGAGTCCAACATCTGGGAGGCCCCCAGACCAGCAGCCTGGCCAAGCTGGCCCTCGTAGACCAGGGCTTGGTTTCCACTCATAGGTTGGTAGGGGGAGCCCGACTGGGGCTTCACCATCTCCAAAGGCTGCATGCCTGGGAATGCCGAGTAGGGAGGCTTCAACGCTGTGCCCCCAGAGAGGATCATGGTGCTGGGCGGCGACAGGCTGGGGTGCATGTACACCTGAGATCTGCAAAAGCCAGTAAGATGATTGGGATCAGGTGGATGAGCACACTGGTAAATCTTAGACTTGAGTGGGCATCATAATCTCCAGAGGGAAACACAGATTGCCAGGCCCACCCCCAGAGTTTCTGATTTGGAAAGTAAGGGATGGGGATTTCACGTTTATAACAAGTTTCTTGATAGTACTAATGCTGCTGGTTCAGGGACCATAGTTTGAGAATTACTGGATTAAACACATGGGCACCCAGGCTGAACAAAGTACGAGAAAACGTTTGCTATACCAAAAGCACACTGAAAAGAGCAAGCCACAGGTGGTGGGGAGGTGGGAGGAAAAGGGGACAGGGGAGGGAAGAGGACCTGGAAGGAAATAACAAGGCCCACCGCCTCAGTCAGGTCTAAGGCCTCTCCTATCTCACAGTTAATAACTGTGAAGTGACATAATCACCCCCCTACGCTGAGGAGCAAGGAGCAACACTAGAACAAAGGGAGCATCAAAAAGGCCACTGGGGTTTGAACGCCTTGGTTCCAAGCTGCCAGGAAACCAGCTCCCTAAGCCCACCCTTGAGCTCACCTGAAGGGCTGTAAGGAGCTGAAGATCTCCTGAGACTGGGAGACAGGAAGCCCCCCCCTCAGTCCAAGCTGAGCTTGAGCCTGCAGAGACGTGTGAAGGGAAATTGGAATCTGCTGGGCAGCGGCAGCCTGTGAACGAACACCAGGCGGGTAATTGCAACGCCCTCTCTGTTGCTGCCCCACCACCCCACCTCCCCTGGCCTCTCTCCGCATGGCAGCTGAAACGCTGTCGAAATGCAAATTTGATCATGTTGTTCCTGTGCTTCCCTTGCTATTGGGACAAAGCCTACAGCAAAAAATTGGTAACAACCCCAAACCACAGTATATTCCTATACTTGGATTCTGTACGTCAAGAGCAAACCCTAGCTACACATCAATAGAGGTGAATTTCACAAAGACAATGCTGAATGAAAAATGTCCACACAGAATACATGCAGTATGATCCAGTTACATGAAGATTAAAACCTTGCAAAACTAAGTAATACAGTATTTAGGATTTTTTTTTTTTATGGATAGGTAGACTCAACATCGTGAAAATGACAATTCTACCCAAAGCAATTTACAAATACGACGCAATCCCGATCCAAATACCAACAACATTCTTCAAAGAGATGGAAAAACTAATCATTAACTTTATATGGAAAGGGAAGAA